TCTTGATATTGTGATGTCAGTTGCTATGTCAATCTTACACAGTCTGTTCTAGCTTCCGGACAGACCGATTTATTCATCTTCTTGAGTCAAATTTTTACCTCGTCACTTCCTCTACAAACGCTGATTGTTTTTGTGTAAACGTATGTGTTCATTTTTCATCTTATTCAACACGTGTCTTTAACTTATTTTTGTCTGACTACAAATATCGATTCACGCTTGGTTAAATCGAGTTGGCTCAGCCGCGTCATTTTGCCCTGCTTCGCTCTCCAGTCAATGATTGTACGAAATATACATATCCGAAAATCCATTCTCGTATCCGACTTATTTAATTCAGTTATTAAACAACGCGACTGAAGTCGATGAATATATACGAGAATTGGCAACATGTATATTTCGATAACAAGAAGAAAATAATCTATCTATAGTCGGATCTCGGTCTACTAAAATGTTCCCAGAGAACTTCAATGACTACTACAATACATTTTTTAGTTTATTCTTTTGTATCTAGGTTACTGTGTTCAAAAGTTGATTGATTGTATCGTTCTGTTTCATTGCATCGCAAACAAAACAGGACAAAAAATTATTCATTTTACATACTTCCACTTTTGTTAATACACAAAACGAAATCTGTGTATCTTTAATTGCTTGTGTGCAAATTCATACATGTTTTTATAAAAGTCCTTGGTGGGGACGATAGTTCCTCAGAACTCATATTTTGTAATTTTATCTTGTCGATTAACTTATCGATTAAATATTTGAATGCCTGTCGATTGATGAACTTATTGACAAGATAGTTGAATGCCTGTCGATCGATGAACTTATTGATTAATGTTTAAAAACATTTTACTATGACAATATCGATTGTAAATATTTGTATAAACACGCTTGACTTGTGTACTTGACCTGACTTGATATGTGCTGTTTGTCTGTTGAACACACTTTCTACGCCTCACCCAGACTTCTTGATCGCGTTAGCTGAGTCGGGTACAAAAGACCAGAATAGTCTATTGGGATTCTCAATCCCTTGATCCGATCGATAAGTCACTGTCCTATAATCGGCGGCCTTTGAGTTACAACAGTCCTGTAGAGCAACTTTTGCTGTAGGTATCAATATTAAGAATGAACTAAATAGTTTCAGACAAATCAAGCATTGTATGGAAAGTTATTCATAAAGTGATCATATTTCTGCAATATGCCAACTAGTAGAATTCTATTATTGTGATATGTCAACGAGCAAGAATTCGCATTCCTGACGTTTCGTTACTTTTGAAAGTCACTTCTGTTCGTTTTTATTTGTCTACCTTGAGGAAGTGATTAACATCAGGTCACGAAACGTCAGAAATTCAAATTCTTGGCCACTGATATATCACATGAGTAGAATTATTTTGCTGTTACTAACCTACGCTGTCTCATGTTACATGGGATATTTGCGCGTCCATACCGGCTGTTTTTTTTACACATTTTGCTTGATTACTTGGACAAAAATATATTCAATGAATCCCTTCGTTTACTTCTCCTTCTTTTTTTGAGACTACTGGAAACGAAAACCGAAATTGAATAAAGAACTTTTGATTGTGTTTTTCTATTGTGCACCCCGCGACTACTTAGAGTAGGAAAACACGATCAGACACTTATGGATGATATAAGCTAATAACAGTGTTTACGAACATCAAGCTTCTTGGGTTCAAACCTCTGGTGTGTCAATTCTTGGGTTTTTGCTTATACACTGTAGTGATTGATAAATTCTAAAAACAAACGACTTTGCAAGCCTCTTAGTTTAACTGTGACCTAATTGATCATACTACGTTCTCTCCTAGCTTAAGGCTCTTGAGCAGCCACTCTCATTAGATCGGGTTTGCTCAAGACATACTGAAAATCTTTCAGAACAACCACTATGCGTAGGTTGCAACAATGATGATAACCATAAATAACAGTAAGTTACACGGGACAAAACAATTCATAGGCATATCAGAAACACTGTCCTCTGAGGCGTTATTGTATTTGAGAAGCGTCTCCAATTAGGTTACCGCGGTTAGCGTATATTGATTAGCCGCTACAGTAGCTTGCTCCTGATACAAGGTTTCCTGATGCAGGAAATTTGGCAAATGTTTTTGCATCTTTGCACGATCACCTTGTCTTACCTCTTATGTATGTGGATACTTTGCTTATCAAGGTCGGACTGCAAATAACCAACCTACATCCGGCTAGTGAGATAGCTGCTGGTTCCGAAGAACTTACTGTCCTGGGCCAAAACTCATTCAAATGACAAATTACCTAAATCCAAAAATACCTTCCAAAGTGACTAGAACTGCCACAGTCGGGTAGCCAGGTCAAAAGATACTGTTAATGATAAGTGATGCGAGACTGTACTGAAACAACACAAAGGAAACGTAAAGAAATCGATCAGTTTGTGCAAGCTCAATAAAAAGGTGTGAAATACGAAATATGCAAATTTGTGATTTAGGTTTTAAATGTGTATTTTGTGAACAAAGTGCTTGAAGCCTGTGTTAGCCCTTTTTTAGTAAGCTTCTGAGTGTCTAGTCTTCTCTCGAATATGTGAGCTCAAGGTTCGGACGCCACTGATCCAGATAGTAGGTTCCATGAATTGATGACTAGTTGTTAAATCTGCACGCCACGAGTACTTAATTAATTCTTGACTTTTGTACTAACCTGATACGTACTATGCTTTGTCCTGATCTGTTAGGAGGAAAAGTAGGAAAATTCATCTGATCCGAAACAATTTCTCTGGTCAGCACCTTAAAATCTATGGTGGAACAGTAAGCGAGTTTAGCTTCCCAAACTGCTCTGTATATAGTAGACCCCGGAGTCCTGTAATTGCACCAGTAGATGTTCTCTATATGTTTTCCACGGTAACCGAATCATCTTTTAAGTGGAGGCTTGGTAGCCTGAACTCACTTTTTAAAACTTGGGTTTTTCCAATATTGTGTATAATGTGGCTAACTTATTAGTACCTAACTTGTCAGTATCCATCATAAAGCCCAATGGTACCCGAACTACTCAGCTGTGACCGCGCCGCAGTTGACAGTAAGCTTAGGACTGTGGCTCATTATTACCCACAAAGATCACCATGTGGCCGAACAACAGGCGTCGAATCCTCTAAGCTGTACCTGTTTACTTTTGTATCCCCCAATGTGCATGTAGACATACATGGCCCCACCGATAGGCATCAGTTGGTTTTTAGACTCCCTAGCCAGATTATCCATGTTCGTTAGATACAAGTTCACTGGCCTACAGGTTAAATGTTAACGCGAGGCCAAACAACCTGGGTTCGAATCTCAAGTGCGGGATGACGAACCGGCTCTGTCTAAGAATCCCACACCAGCACGAAACAACCATCCAGTGCTTCCAGGTTTTTAAAGATGTTCTAACACTGACTGGTTCATGATTTCGGTGGAATATCTAAGTCCGTTTGAAGTTTATATGATATGCGAAAAAACCAGAATACGTATACAGAACATGACTCCAAATTACTCTTTACTTCCTACTTCCTGCCGAACGTCATTCTGAAATGAAGGACATCCTATTAGCTGTCCGGAGATCGGTAACATGGAAACAAAAATACACACATTGCATTGTACTAATAGTTCATCCTTATAACACAGAATCCATGTGACACTTCATCTTTCATGCTGTACCAAACTGCGATTGTATCCTCTCAGTTCATAGATAACTCACCTTGACCAAGTGCCTTACCGACAGCCGTGGTGCGATTCGTCTCGAGATTTTAGGGTGTAGTCCATCCGGCCCTGCTGATTTTCCCGTATTTTAAATACTACGAACCTTCAGTTCATCGTCTTGATCAAAGTCCAAGTTAAACAGGCGATTAAGTGACTTTTTGTTTGGGCATAGCTTTTAATTCATAAGAGGTTCTTCAGTGTAATCTGTCCCGAATTATTTCGACATTATTTCTGTTTTGGGATGCACTCCCTGTTGTAACTAGTATGGTAATTCAGTAGTGAGTAATTGTCCTGCGATTTATTTGCAACAACAGTCTCCGGGTGCTTGCTTGCAGATTAAGTCAACTGACTTCACATTTTTTCTGATTGTGCTTGCGTACCTGCAGCGCTATGTCTTATTTGCTGTGGCAGGAATGATGGCGGCTTTTCAACATCTTTCTTAGCATACATCGAGTCTCTCGGTTTATCAAAAGATATACTTGCTCCTTCTTCTTCTCTGGAACTATAAATGGTTGAGCTACTTGGTTGTATAACTGATGGAAATGAGCCCATGCCTCTCCTATTGACGAACTGGAGTAGACTTCCGAGTTTTTAGTCGAGGCTGCAAACCAACTGCCTTAGTGTCCATCTTCCATATGTTGGGACGACTCGATGCAACTGCTTGAGGGACCATATCAATCACAAAGCTGAATAAGGTTATCTCATGATACTTCTCCCTATCAGTGGGTTCATCACCGAATCAGATTATCTGTGTCGATGATTCGGGGCCTACTCGACGTAGACGGTGATGGTCTGCCCGACGTGCTAACGTTGAGATCACGCCTCACGGTCGGTTACTAACTTGGATAACCCATCCGTCACATTCAGGTACTACGTCTTCTTCGATGACCGCGCAGAACGAACGACGTTAATACTGGAACAAATGAGTAAGAGTATGTAGAGTAGGTAGTGAGAACACTGTTGAACGGTCCAGTACATGGCATGCAATTAACTGGCTTGAATTGTTTGCCTTTGACCTCGAAGGGGACTGGTGGAGTTTTCGACACTCAGAGACTCGGCTGCTGGATGTTCTGGCTGGGGCCTAGTGACCTTTCATTGCCTCTGCAGGCAGAAGGAACTTGAACTGACTGACTCCGTCACCGTATATGAAGATTAAGTCAAATACAGATGAAGAGTTTCGTGAATTATGCCTGATGATATCTCCAATGTGCTAGAATAGAGCTAGGGCGATTATGGTTTTTAACAATTTTTAAAGGTTTTGTCAATTGTATTTACATATGTTTAGGTATGGCGAAGTCTGGTGGCAATTTAGGCGTTGCGCTACTGTCCTATTACAATGAATGACTCCCGTGTGCAGGTTGGGGTAAAGAAACTCCCTATGCACCTACAAGTAACGTTAAAATCACATATTAAATCATTAAAAAGAGTTCCCAGAATCGTTTGCTCATTAAAGGAGGGAAAGTAGTCAATGATGATCGTATGTTTACTGCTGATATATATATTGAAGATGGGGTTATTAGGTATGTTGTCATCTACCTTAATTTTGTGTAGACAAGTAGGTAATCAGCTTTCGATTCCAGGGGGAGTCAGAATCATTGATGCATCAGGAAAGATGGTCATCCCAGGTCTTTCAAATCTTTAAGTATAGATTATTGTCTCGTTTTTAGGTGGTGTTGATCCTCATACATGCTTTGATTCCTCTTGTTTTGGTTTGAATACATCAGATGATTTTTATTCTGGCACGAGAGCAGCACTTGCTGGTGGAACTACTACAATAAGTCTGTTTGTTTGAAATCATTTATGTTTCAGTCAATTGTATTGTACCTACAAACATTTCACTTTTGGATATGTATGAAAAGTCCCGTCAAACAGCAGATTCCAAAGCGTGTTGTGACTATGCGATGCACTTTATCTTATCCCAGTTCGACTCCAAAATATCCAAGGAAATGGAACTACTAGTCAAAGAAAAGGGAGTGAATTCTTTTAGGGTTTTTTTGTCAAATACAAACGACATGTTAGTAGACGACGGTGATTTCTTCGAAATCGCTAAGCGGTGTAGAGATCTTGGTGCTGTTCTCCAAGTTCATGCAGAGAATGGAAAATTAGTTAGGATACTAGAGTCGAAAATATACAATGACGGTATTACTGGCCCAGAGGGTTACTTGTATTCACACCCAGAAATGGTTAGTTACGGTCCTAAAATAATTTTATTGTCTTTGTTTAAAATATTTTCGAATAAGAACTCTTACTGATTATTATTACTGTCTGCTGGGTTTGGCCTTCTATTACCTCTAACATCCTAGCAGCGATATTCTTTTGCCCTCAAATGTCTTGGTACAGCTGATGGCGGGAAAGTCCAATTTCCCTTTCAAATTGCCTAACATGGGCACGCATATACAGCCCCTGCCAGGGAAGTCTTATTCACTGCCTTCTCGTGACGGAGGTATTGTTTACGAAATTGAAAGAACGAAAAGCAAATGTTCGGTGCACTAACCGGGTGTCAGTCAGTCAGTCAGTAACAACGTAGAACTTCGTACGTACGTACATCAGTTCGAGTTGCCACACCACATTAGCACAGAGATGCAGTGGTCGATTCAAATCCCGTAGTGGTAAAGGTAGCAAGAGTATAAGCAGTAATCGGGAAGATTAGGGTTTGGAGATGTTATTTAAAGAGTATAATCCGGTGAAAGAAATTTGGGAAGAGGGAAAAAGGGACATGAAGAATTCAGAAGATTAGAGTTTGGGAGAACACAGAGAGTGGATGCACCTGCGCCATTGCGAACGATTTTGAGCCATGTCATTCAGGGTCTCTAACCATCGGTTGCTGTCATCTCGCGGTCCCCAACCAGGTAGTCTACACCTACCAACATGACTCAGTTCACTTGTCAGTGACTTCATGGACTTGTGCCATGTTTTGGTTTGGCCGCCCCTAGCTTTCTTCCAACGTACTCCTATACCACTGAACATAGCACGTCGAGGCAGTCGGTCGTTGGGCATACGTAACACGTGTCCCAGCCATCTCAACTGATGAAGTTTCACTACTTCATCAATTGATTTGCCATCCTTACCTAGTACCCGTTTCCTGACAACTGTGTTACTTACTCGATGGTCCCAGGATATACGAGCAATGTTTCGAAGACACCTATGATCGAATACTAGTAACCTACGGATATCCTCTACTCTTACCGGCCATGTTTCACTGCCATAAAGTAGGACGGAACGAACTGCTGCGCAGTAAACACGTCCTTTAGTTGATAGACGGATATCTCGCCTACGCCATAAATGACGCAAGTTGGCAAAAGCTAGTTGAGCCTTCTGTATCCGTGCTGAGATTTCGTCACAAACCAAACCACAAGGGCTGATCAGACTTCCAAGATAAGTGAAGCGGTCGACACACTCAACTACTTCACTCCCTATCACTAGTTCGGGTGTCGATGTAACCCAATCCTGAAGCAACATTTTACATTTCGAGGGAGAGAATCGCATCCCGAACATGCTTGCATTGTTGCTTAGAGTGGTCAGAAGACTCTGCATTTTGTCAGCGTCTTCACCAAATAAAACTATGTCATCTGCATATTCTAAGTCAACAAGTGAACCTCCCGGTAGAAGTTCAACCCCTGTAAATTTAGATGAGGAGAGTGTTATCTCTAAAAGTACGTCAATGACAAAGTTGAACAAGAATGGGGAGAGTGGACAGCCCTGACGAACACCACTTGAGGTGATCAATTCTGATGACAGTTCGCCATAAGCTCTCACTCTACCAGTTGTGTTCGAGTAGAGAGCCTTTATAAGGTTAATGTACTTCTTTGGTACTCCTTTCAGTGACAAACACTGCCATAGAACCTCACGATCAACGGAGTCGAATGCCGCCTTAAGGTCGAGAAATACTACCATTGTGGGGCGTCTGAATGTGTGTCTCTGTTCTAGAACCTGACGTAGTGTGAATATCTGATCTATACAACCACGTCCAGGTCGAAAACCAGCCTGGTTTTCTCTAGTCTGTTCTTCACGAGCTTTCGTTAGGCGTCGAAGTATTATTGAGGCCAATATTTTAGACACTATATTAGTCAAACTGATTCCTCTGTGATTGTCACAAGAGGACTTTTGTCCTTTCTTAAAAACTGGCACAATCAGTGATTGAGACCAGTCAGATGGGATTACGTCCAGTTCCCAAATTCTACCTAAGACCTCAGTTAATCTTGCTGCTAATACTGGACCACCATCCTTAAAAATCTCAGGAGTAAACATGTCAGGGCCTGCTGCTCTCCCTCGTTTCAGATTTCTTATGGCTTTTTCAACTTCGTAAAGGGACGGAGGACTTACATTAACTTGCCATTCAGGTTGACTGGAGATCGTGGGAAACCGAAGTGTGGCTGAAGGCCAGTTGAACTGATCCCTAAAGTGTTCTGCCCATCGATCCAATCTCCTGGATTGAGAATGAATAATATGTCCATCTTTCTCTGAGATTGTTTCGCTAACGGTCGGTTTCCTAATTCCGGTTTCCTTAACGAGTCTAAACAATTGTCTGCTATTACCTATTGCCGCTGCCTTTTCCATCTCTCTTGCTTTCGCTACCCACCACTGTTCACGATCATTGCGTAGACTTCTTGTCAGCTTGCGCTTAAGCTGACTCCGCTCTTCATTATGTTCAGAGCCAGGTGGAATGAGTTTTCGAGCATCTATCAGTGCGATAGATGCTGCTGAGATCCAGTGTTGCTCCCTAACTTTACGGTTTACCTTACTAGCAGATATCACTGCTGTTTCCACAGCTTTTCGGATATCGTTCCATGCTGCCTCGGGGTGGGCATCACATACATGGCTGCCTAACTCTTTTCCTAGTTGTTCCTGAAATATACTCTTAGCTTGACTATCATTAGGTAGGGCCCTAAGAGGTTTCCTTGCAGGATCTTTCCTACGTCCAGTAAGACGCAAGCAAATACGCGCTCGCACTAGAGCATGATCTGAATCTAGGCATGTGCTCCAGAATGAGCGACAGTCTTCTATCGAGCCCCTCCATCGGTGGCTGATAGCGATGTGATCTATTTGGGTCCAACGTTGGGACGAATTAGGGGGTCGCCATGTTAAAAGATGTTTTTCCTTATGCTTAAAGTTAGTATTTGCAAGGAACAGGCGGTTATCTGAGCATAGCTGCAACAGACGGTCGCCATTATCTGTTCTTTGAGCCACGACACCATAGGATCCACCTAGGTGTCTTTCCTTATCGCTTAGTTTACCTACTTGAGCATTAAAGTCACCGGCCACTATTACTACATCCGAGCGCTTAGCTTTTCGGAGAAGGTCCGAAAGCTTTCTGTAAAACTCATCTTTTACATCATCTGAGCTGCAGTCAGTGGGAGAATAGGCAGAGACGACGAAGAGGCAACGACGAGTGTCCCTATCTTTCCGGATTCTTACTGTTCCGTTCAGTCGGACAGCGCACAAACGACTGTTTACTGGGATCCACTCTAAGAGAGCTAGTTCCGCCCTAGGACTCAATGCTATACCTACGCCGGCGAGGCCACGGGAAGCAGAATCAGGGCTTCCAGATACACGAAGCGTAAATCGAGTCGGTTCTTTATTTTGGCATGGTGAGGTCAAATGAATGACGCTACTCGGATCTTGTATGCGCGTTTCGGAGACGCAGCACACATCGATGGCGCGAGATTCTAAAGTCCTAGCTAAGGAAGCCTGTTGTCCTATTTGGCACAGTGTTCGTACGTTAAAAGCTCCTACGTGTAGTTTAGAGCGTGGTTTCAGGAGCCCAGGAATGGCGTTCCACGTACTCGAATCGTTTGCCCTAGCGGTGCGAGGTGATATAGAGACGTGAGGAGGGTTAGTCGGGAGGATAAGAGAGGTATTAGGAGGTGTAGGAAGGATTTGAATGTGACCACCTTGGTCTCTTGTGCTGTTACGGGTATGAGGGCTGATGTCACTTCCCGGCTGCCCACACCGTGGAAGGGTATTTCTTGATGAACCTGAAAAGGAAATTGGATTAGTGTTGGTCTTGACGACCTGGGAGCGTGACCGCAGAGCCCAAGGGACAACTGCTTGAGGCCGGTCGCGCACGGCCTTTTTGTGGAAGGTTTTTGACGTGTTAGCTCCGTTCTTCAAGGGGCCTTACCGCCGGAGACGGAAATCCGTGAGGTAAGGTGAGGTGTGCATTTTTAGGGTCGACCTTTTCTAACCCCACCCCTCCTTGTGGGAAGGCAGCATCGCTGTCATGCTGGTTGTCCGAGGGAAACACCTTACTGCTGTCACACCTCTCTACAGTCAGCAGTACGACTTCGCCCTCAGACCTTGAGTTGCTGCTTTTAGTCTTACCGTTCGCCAATCGACCTGCCTGGCATGGTAGAACCTGCAGGAACATATGTTCCAGCCAATATAGCTCGGTTGGGTCATCACGATAGGCAAGCCCGACCACCGCGTCAAGGTAGCAGCTTCGATCGGGACTAACCGGGTGAGTGGATATCGATGATCCATCTAGTCTTCAGTCTTCAGTAATAAGGATAGTAGGTTGATAAACCTGTATTAATCCTGACACACTGCTTTCCAGTGAAGGTCCAGCTTCTTGAAAGTATTCACTAATGGGGCTGATACCACTTGTTCTGGTAAGGCGTTCCAATGATTGACTACTCGATGAGAAAAACGGGACCCCACTTTAAGTTTATTAGATCTTGGCTTAAGAACCTTCTTGCTATGACTGCGGAGATTATTAGTGCTGGAGGGAGCAAAAAGATTAGACATATTAACCTTGATTCCAAAACAGTGGTGCTCATAGGTTCCAGGATTCTGGGGAGAAAGTGGTGTGTGAACCTACTGTCGATCACCAGCTACAATGGGACTGCATCTTCTCACGTCGATCCACTACCTTGTGGATTATACCTTTGGGTCTAAGACCCTGGGTGTGGCCCCTTAAGAAAACCACCTGCTTCGGTTTGGGAGACCGGGAAGTATTCCAGCACACGCAAACCGAATGCCGAAGTGTGGCGTATATATATTTGGTGTATCATTGCATCAATATTTATGTGTTTTAGTAAATCAATAAGTGATAAATAACCTTTAATATGCGTTCTGTAACGTTGTTCTTTACCGAATTCTCTATGGTTATTTTGCTTAAACACTTCAAAGACAGATTCTTCTTGCCAGTTATACCAAAACATTTTGGAATGTTTAATTATTTAGCTTTAAGGGGTCGGTAACGTAAGTATTGTGTCGCAATTTATGAACCATAAAGTCGATTTTAGTGTTTATTGAATTATATATAGCGGTCCTGCAAATATTATTGTTGGAAATTTAAAGAAAGAGAATAATTTCGAAGTTTTGTAGAAGTAGTAGGTAACTCTACCATAAAAGATTAATTTAAATTTGTTGATAGGATCTATTGCATTGTAAAGGTGTTTTTGTTTATGTTAGATGGGCATGGATGTAGGCTTTACTAGCACTTGATGACGTGTGATAAGTGATAGGCAGCAGCCTTAAAAGTGAGGTCCGCTTGATCCTAAGTATGGTAAATGATGTATTTGAATTAAAGTACTTTCGGGAGCTAGGCTCTTGGTGGTTATTTCACTGTTCCATGCAGAAACACTGCCGTTCGTATTCTGCTAGTAAATTAGTGACTTACTGATTTGTTATATTGTCTAAATCCTTGGTGACTGATGAATAGTATTCTTTCATCCCTTTAGTCATTGCTTTGTTTTTTATTGAACAACAATGTACTTAGATTGTGTTTTAACTATATGTTACAATTAGTTCATTCTGATTCTCAGCTCATCATTTTTATATTATAATGACCAAGCCCAAAAATCGACTGAGTTGTCAAACTTCTGTATACGTTTGACTGATTATATATCTTCTATATAAGCGTTAAATATTTAGACTGGTTTTATCTCTCTTGGAAAAGGGATTTTGTGTTTAAGAGTTGTAATGTATCTGAGACAAGATTGTCAATCCTTCTGCTTGAGTAATTAGTTTTTCTGCTCGAGATATTTACAAAAATAAACATCTCTTCACTAATATTCCAAAATGCCAACGTTGACTACACCATGCTTTGCAGTATTGACAAAAGATTTGTGTGATTATTGATCGTTCATCCAAGGACAACTTTCTCTTGACCTATGAGAAATCAGAAGACATAAATCATCAATAAGTATTTGATTTATTTGCTGTGTTTTCGAAGCATATAGGACTATGGAATTGGTGTTATTGCTAAAAGATATTTTAGAGCGTTTATTATTTATTTGAACACATAAATATTGGTACAAGAGTGCGCCAAATATATATGCGCCACACAAAACAATGAGAATTCGAAGAGAAAAAAGATAAGGAGTGTAAAAAAAGAGAACAATAACGAAGAGATTGGTGTAAGGTAGTGTAGTAATAATAATAGTAATAATGAGGGGACGGAAAGGTACAATCAGAAGAAATCTTTCAGTTAAGGGAGACACAACCACTTTTTATGAAGAAAGTAAAAGAAGGTTACAGCAGAATCGCCACTGGCTTCTATTCTGAGCCATATCTGATAACGTCTCTAGCCACTGTGTCGCACCATCTCTCGGACCCCAACCAGGGAGTCGTGAAGGACCAACACAAGCCAGTCCTTTGCAGCTTTCTTTCATGTCACGACACCATGTCATGCACTGACCACCTCTCCGCTTCTTCCAACCAGTCCCAGAGTCGGCAAATAATGCACGACGTGGAATTCTCTGGGACGACATTCGGAGAACATGTCCAAGCCACCGAAGTCGGTGTTTCAAGATGGTGACATCAATTGAATTATCATCTCTGTGCCCGAACACACGATGCCGAACCTCTGCACTACTGACATGGTGTTGCCACTGAATGTCAGCAATCCTTCGGAGACAACGATGATCGAACACAGAGAGTCGTCTAACGTCCTCAACTCGGAGAGGCCAAGTTTCACAAGCATAGAGCAAAACTGCTCTCACCGACGCGCTGTAGATCCGACCTTTTACAGCCAGACTAACATCACGAAGGCGCCAAAGGTGGCCCAGATTGGCATAAGCCGCTCTGGCTTTCACTATAGGTGCATTGATCTCATCACTCACGCCACCTTCAGCACTTATGCAGCTACCCAGATACACGCACTTCTCGACTACTTCTATCTGCTCACCATCCAGGGTGAGTACAGGATTAGAATCCTGCCAGTCTTGTAGAAGTACTTTGCATTTCGAAGGTGCAAAGCACATACCATACCTACGGACACTGATTGCCAACTGATTAAGTGCGGATTGCATGCATTGGGCATTATCGCACAGTAAGACAATATCATCCGCATACTCAAGGTCGAGAAGTCTTTCTCCAGGCAACAGATCCACACCACCATTACTTACATCCATCAGAGCTGTTTCCAGAATGTCATCGATGGCAAATTTGAAGAGGAATGGTGAGATTGGGCAACCCTGCCTAACCCCACTGCTCGAATGGAACAATGGAGAGAGGTGGTTGTATGCCCTCACTCTGCCTGAGGTGTTTTTATATAGGGCTTTTAGGATGTTAATAAACTTCTCAGGCACACCCTTCTTCAATAGACAATCCCAGAGAACAGTCCTGTCCAACGAATCGAAGGCAGCCCTGATGTCAAGGAACACTACGATTGTTGGCCTTTGATAAGTATGGCGATGTTCTAACATTTGGCGGAGGGTGAAGATATGATCAATACATCCTCGACCAGAACGAAACCCAGCCTGCTCCTCGCGAGTCAATCTTTCTCGGGTTTTGAACAACCTACGAAGTATGACGGAAGCCAATAGCTTGGACGCAATCAGAAGTAGACTTATCCCCCGATAGTTGTTACAGGAACGACGTGAACCCTTTTTAAAGATAGGGACAACTATCGACTCATTCCATGACGTTGGTACACTCTCTAGTTCCCAAATCTTTGTAAACAACGTCGTCAATTCCTTAGTCAAAAAGTCACCACCATCTTTAAAAAGAGCCGAAGGTAAGTCATCTGGGCCAGGTGATTTGTAACGCTTCAAGAGTTGGAGTTCCTTGCGGACTTCCTCCTCATTTGGTGGATCAGTCGTCACCGGCCATGGAGGACAGGACAGTCTGACCGATGTTGCCGGAGCAGCAGGCCAGTTGAACTGCCCTTCGAAAAATTCTGCCGATCGTCCAAGACGTCGATGGATGTTAGTGATTGGCATCCCGTCACCCTCGTAGATTGTTTCACTCACACCAGACTTCTTGCTGCCAGTGGCTCGGATGAGTTGGAAGAGCTTCTGGTAGTTACCAGATGCAGCTGCTGCTTCTAGCTCATTAGCACGCTTCGACCACCAGACTTCTCGGTCCTTACGCAAGCTTTGCACAATTTCCTTACGTAACATCCTTCGTTTGTGGTCAAACTCACGGTTACCCGGAGTAGACCGACGGGCTTCAATGAGTTGTAAGGAACCTGCAGAAACCCAGTGCTTATAATCGAGACGTTTCGCGAACCCACAACTGACTGTACCCTCCATTTTCATGGCGTCATGCAATTGCAACCAATGCTCATCTATACTTTTCGGTGGAGTGGTAGCTAGCCTAGAGGCTAGCTCGGTTCGATACTTACTAGCAACAGAAGTTGCAACCAGCTTGCTAATATCAATCCGTTGATGGTGGTCACTTCGTTGTCCACTGAAAAGTAAGGCAAATTGGCGCAGACCAAGGCATGGTCAGAGTCCAGATAGGTACTCCAAAAGGAGCGGCAGTCTTGTACACTACCACGCCAGCGGTAGCTGATCGCGATGTGATCAATCTGAGTCCAGGCTTGAGATGCAGAGGGAGGACGCCAGGTGGCACATCGGCGATGACTGTGCCGAAAGTTAGTGCTAGCCAGAAACAGGTTGTGGTCTGTGCACAGTTGCAGTAGACGGTCTTCGTTAACTGACCTGCGACCAACGTGTCCCCATCGGCCACCTAAACGACTCTCTTCTGTGCTTAGACGTCCGACCTGAGCATTCAAGTCTCCGGCTAGTACTACAATATCTGTCGAACGCACTTTCTGGAGAAGAACAGATAACTGGTGGTAAAACTCATCCTTGATTGCATCCGGGCTGCAATCTGTCGGGGATGACGAAAAGACATCGTTTCCCACGCCGATTTCTCACTTTGATGGAACTTTCTAATCTAACAGCACATAATCGACTGTTAATGGAGATCCAATCGGTTAGTGCTGCCTCAGCTCTAGCGCTTAGTGCGACACCAACGCCAGCAAGACCAGACGAAGATGCCACAGGGTCCCCGGATAAGCGCACGTAAAACAAGCTTTTTGAATCGACAGATGGAGATCGAATTTGTAGTACTTCGCCAGAGTCTTGAATACGGGTCTCAGATAGACAACAAACATCAATATTAAGACTTTCCAAAGACATAGCCAGCCCTATCTGTTGTCCGACCTGCATAAATGTGCGAACGTTGAAGGCAGCCAGTTTGAATGGCGCACGTGGTTTCAGAAAAACTGCTTCAGTCCTCGTATTCAGTGGTAACATACAATTTTCAACCGGACAGTGACTCGAGAACGTTTAGATAGAGTCGAATTTCCACCAAAGACGAGCAGCTGTATAAGTATAAAAGAGGGTAAATAGTGTGGTAAATAATAATAGTAATAATAATCATTTGATTGTTAGTTGAAGCAAGGAAAGTAGTTTCCATAATTATGGGCAGTTCATCATATTTGTGTGTGGGCTGTGATACTGCCCGGGTTCCTAGACCGAAGCAGGTGGTTATCTTAGGGGGCCACACCCCGAGCCTTTGACCTAAAGGTCTGACCCACAAGGCAGTGGAGCATCGTAAGGAGATGCAATCCCATGGTAGCCGGTGACCAACGATTGGTTCATACGCCGTTTGTTCCCGCAGGATACTGGAGCCAGCCCATGTGCACCATTGGTACGGGATCCGGTTAAAGGACCGGACATTCGCTTTTCGTCCTCTCAATTTCATAAACAGCACCCCCGCCACCAGAAGGCAATGAGTAGGACTACCTTGGCAGAGGCTGTATACGCGTGGCCGTGTGAGAGTATTTCGAGAGGGAGAGCGGACTCTCCCCACTCTCGGCCGTACCAGGGCATTTGGGTGCTTAGAGCGTTTGAATTATTATCATACCACAGTTTTATTTGCTGTTTGTTTCAAACTTAAATCATCGGCTTTATCAAATGAAATGTTTCTATTTATTTTTACAGGCGGAGATTGAAGCTACACATCGAGCGCTTTCTTTAGCTGATGCTGCTGGTTGTCCTCTATATATTCTACAAGTCACTAGTCCGAAAGCAGCAGATCAAATATCAGAAGCTCGTTGGAATGGAAATGTTGTTGTAGGTGAAACATTAGCCGCTGCACTGGGTGCTGATGGTACTCATTATAAGAATAGTTGCTGGCGTCATGCTGCGGGATATGTTCTGTCTCCTCCACTAAGAGTTAATCCGAATACTTCAGATAAGTTGGTGCGTTACGTCTCCACTGGGGTTCTAGAATGTACTGCTAGTGGCCATTGTGCTTTTAAAACTGAACAGAAAGCTTTGGGAAAGGACGATTTCCGAAAAATCCCTCCTGGAGTCAATGGAGTAGAAGATCGAATGTCAGTTGTTTGGGAGAAAGGAGTGGTAATTTGCTGCTATAATTTTATGGAAACCACTATTAAATTTATCTTCATTTGTTAGATGTCTGGTTTTATAGACCCATGCAAGTTTGTTGCTGTGACTAGTACAAATGCCGCTAAAGTCTTTAATCTCTATCCACAAAAGGGAAGGATCGATGTTGGAAGTGATGCTGATTTGGTTATCTGGGATGGTGATGCAACTCGCACAATATCAGCAAAAAATAACCACGAAAATGTTGATTTCAACATATTTGAAGGTCTTCAGTGCCATGGCGTACCTGTAGTCGTGGTCACTGCTGGTCGGGTTGTTCTGGAGGACGGAGAACTTAGAGTAACTCAGGGTGCAGGTCGTTTTGTACCGGCTTTACCGTTTTCACCGTATATTTTTGAGAGAACAAAAAGACTGGTGCTGGTTAGTTATAAATGATTGTAATATATATTTAATTGTTATTAATGTTAGATGCCATCATTAGTATCTTTGGTGAATCCTATCTCATTATGGTTAGGGCTATGTGCAATTTGTTGAGTGGTATTTATGGTTTCGTATGCTGCACACTTTTACATAAGTTTCGGTCAGTTGGTCACAAATCACAGTAGTCCAAGGACATGATATGCCATGATTACGCAGGGCTATCAAATCAAGTGGTCTATCCATGTTGTGGTATTTTTTTCTGGTTGTAGCCATGACTACTCACTGAAAAAGCCAGTATTTTTTATATTGTCTTGATATAAAATCCTTCGACTGTCATTGGTAAAATCCTTTCAACAAATGTTCCACATCATTAATTCTTATGCTCAAGTAGTTATTTGGTGTATGTAGTGGTTTGTTAACCAACAATTCTGAGCATTTCCTCATTATTATAAGGGTAATTTACTCACTACTATTTTGATAAAACTAAATTTTGTACTCATATGTGAAGCTGTGTATTCGTTTCTTATCATCATGAGAAGCTGATTTGAAAGAATATTTCTTCACTTAAGTCGTATCTCGAATGTCTGAATGAAAATATACAAGTTATTACATTACAACAATCTTTTATTAAGAAGTATTAATTCCATTATTAAGAAAACCATACACCTTCGGTAATGTTTTAGAATGCACCATACAGATGTCATATTAAAATGTCTCATGGATTCCTGATACATTATATCTTAGTTTCATCTTTAGTAGATTTACTGTTTTTGTCGGAATCACTTCCATTTAAAGATTATCTTAACAAAAGACATCTGAATACATAAAGGCTGTGACTGAAAACCGAATATCCAAACATTTACGTCGTTATTAGGTCATAAAAAGATTTGGAAAGTCAATCTTCGCAATTAAGAACTTTCGTCTAAATTTGATCAAATAGTTTCACAGAGTTTGGGCTCCGAGTTAACGCAAGACATTAAAGAGGAAGAATGTACTTGTAAAATCTCAGCGAAAGAATCTGAAATAAATCCAACGTTTCGCTTGGCAATCTGGTCCAGGTTTTTTCAATAGCTTATTGTTGTCCCTTATAAGTTATCCACGGATTATCACGGGTTCCCGTCTCCGGCGGTAAGGCCGTTTGAAGAACAGAGCTAACTTCCCACAAAGAGGCCGTGCGTGACCGGCTTCAAGCAGTTGTCCCTTCGGCTCTGCGGTCATGCTTCCAGGTCGTTAAGATCAAAACTAATCCAACTTCCCTTTTAGGTTCCTCAAGAAATACCCTTCCGCGGTATGGGCAGCCGGGAAGTGATATCAGCCCTCATACCCGTAACAGTACACGAGACCAAGTTGGTCACAATCGAATCCTACCTACACCTAATAACTCTCGTATCTCCACAACTAACCCTTCTCACGTTCCTTTATCACCTCGTACCGCTAATTCAAAAGATTTGAGTACGCGGAACGCTATTCCCCGTCCCCTGAAATCACGCTCTTCACTACATGGAGCTTTTAACGTCCGAACACTGTGCCAAATAGGATAACAGGCTTCCTTAGCTAAAACTTTAGAATCGATGTGCGCTGCGTCTCCGAATCGCACATAAAGTAGCGTCATCCATTTGACCTCACCATATCAAAATAAAGAAACATCTCTATTCACTCTTCGTTTATCTGAAAGCCCTAATGCTGCTTCCCGTAGCCTCGTTGGTGTAGGTATAGCATCGGGTCCTAGTGAAAAACTAGCTCTCTTAGACTGGATCCCAGTAGACCGTCGTTTGTGCGCTCTCCGACTAAACGGAACAATAATGACTCGGAAAGATAGGGACACATCGTTGCCTCTTCATCGTTTCTTCCTTCTCTCCCATTGACTGCAGCTCAGATGATGTAAACGATGGGTTCTACAGAAAGCTTTGTGACCTCCTCCAAAAAGTTAGGCGCACTGAAGTAATAGTGGCTGATGACTTTAATGCTCAAGTAGGTAAAGTAAGCGAAAGGAACCTGGGTAGATCTTATGGTGTCGTAACTCAAAGAACAGATAATGGAGACTGTCTGTTACAGCTATGCTCAGATAATCGCCTGTTTCTTGCAAACATTAACTTTAAGCATAAGGAAAAACATCTTTTGACATGGCAACCCCCGAATTCGTCCCAACGTTGGACCCAAATAGATCACATCGCTATCAACCACCGATGGAGGGGCTCGATAGAAGACTGTCGCTTGTTGTGTAGCACATGCTTAGATTCAGACCATGCTCAAGCGCGTATTTGTTTGTGTCTTACTGGACGTAGGAAGGACGCTGCAAGGAAACCTATTAGGGTTCTACTTAATGATAGTCAAGCTAAGAATATATTTCAGGAACAATTAGAAAAACAGTTAGGCAGCCATGTAAGTTTTGCTTACCCCGGGGCAGCGTGGAATGACATCCGAAAAGCTGGATCTCAGCAGCATCTACCGCACTAATAGATGCTTGAAAACTCATTCCATATGGCTCTGAACATAATGAAGAGCGGAGTAAGCTTAAGCGCAAGCTGACCAGAAGCCTACGCAATGATCGCGAACAGTGGTGGGTGGCGAAAGCAAGAGAGATGGAAAAGGCAGCGGCAATAGGTAATAGCAGACAATTGTTCAGACTCGTTAAGGAAACCGGTATTAGGAACCCGACTGTCAGCGAAACACTCTCAGAGAATGATGGACATATTATACATTCTCAATCCAGGAGATTGGATCGATGGGCAGAACACTTTAGGGATCAGTTCAACTGGCCTTCAGCCACACTTCGGTTTCCCACGATCGCCAGTCAACCTGAATGGCAAGTTAATTTAGGTCCTCCGACTCCTTATAAAGTTGAAAAAGCTACAGGAAATCTGAAGCGAGGGAGAGCAGCAGGCCCTGACAGGTTTACTCCTAAGATTTTTAAGGATGGTGGTCCAGTATTAGCAGTGAGATTAACTGAGGTCTTAGGTAGAATTTGGGGACTGGACGTAATCCCATCTGACTGGTCTCAATCACTGATTGTGCCAGTCTGTAAGAAAGGACAAAATCCTCTTGTGACAATCACAGAGGAATCAGTTTGACTAATATAGTGTGTAAAATATTAGCATTAATAATACATCGACGCCTAACCAAAGCAGACTAGAGAAAACCAAGCTGGTTTCCGACCTGAACGTGGTTGTATAGATCAGATACTAGAACATAGACACAGATTCAGATGCCTCAAAATCGTAGTATTTCTCGACCTTAAGGCGGCATTCGACTCTGTTGATCGTGAGGTTCTATGGCAGTGTTTGTCACTGAAAGGAGTACGAAAGAACTACATTGCCCTTGTAAAGGCTCTATACTCTAACGTAAATGGTCGAGTGAGAGCGTATGGCGAACTGTCATCAGAATTGATTACCTCAAGTGGTGTTCGTCAGGGCTGTCCACTCTCCATTCTTGTTCAACTTTGTCGTCGACGTACTTTTAGAGATAACACTCTCCTCATCTAGATTTCCAGGGGTTGAACTTCTACCGGGAGGTTCGCTTGTTGACTTAGAATATGCTGATGACATAGTTTTATTTGGCGAAGACGCCGACAAAATGCAGAGTCTTCTGACCACTCTAAGCAACAATGCAGGCATGTTCGGGATGCGATTCTCTCCCTCGAAATGCAAAATGTTGCTTCAGGATCGGGTTACATCGACACCCGAACTAATGATAGGGAGTGAAGTAATTGAGCGTGTCGATCGCTTCACTTATCTTGGAAGTCTCATCAGCCCTTGTAGTCTGGTGTGTGACAAAATCTCAGCACGGATACAGAAGGCTCAACTAGCTTTTGCCAACTTGCGTCATATATGGCGTAGGCGAGATATCCGTCTATCAACCAAAGGACGGGTTTACTGCACAGCAGTTCTTTCCGTCCTACTTTATGGCAGTGAAACATGGCCGGTAAGAGTAGAGGATATCCGTAGGCTACTAGTATTTGATCATAGGTGTCTTCGAAACATTGCTCGTATATCGTGGGACCATCGAGTAAGTAACACAGTTGTTAGGAAACGGGTACTAGGTAAGGATGGCAAATCAATTGATGAAGTAGTGAAACTTCATCAGTTGAGGTGGCTGGGACACGTGTTACGTATGCCCAACGACCGACTGCCTCGACGTGCTATGTTCAGTGGTATAGGAGTAGGTTGGAAGAAAGCTAGGGACGGCCAGACCAAAACATGGAACAAGTCCATGAAGTCACTGACAAGTGGACTAAGCCATTTTGGTAGGTGTAGACTACCTGGTTGGGATCCGCGAGACGATAGCAACCGATGTTTAGAGACCATAAATGACATAGCTCGAAATTGTTTGCAATGGTGCAGGTGCATCTACTCTTTGTGTTCTCCCAAATTCTAATCTTCTGAATTCTTCATGTCCTTTTTTCTCTTTCCAAATTTATTTTACTGGATTATACTCCTTGAATAACACCTTCAAACTCTAATGTTTCCCATTACTGCTTCAACTTTTACTGCCTCTACCACTGTAGGATTTTAATCGACAATTGTATCTTTGTGCTAATATGGTAAGGCAACTCGAACTGATGTACGTACGTATGAAGTTCTACGTTGTTGACTGACTATCCACTGATTATTTTTTACTAATATTTTCTCTAGATGCGTTCCGTCAAACCTATAATTCGTGATTCGTATACTGGTCCTGTGTCCACAGAATTCACTATTCCAATGAAAGATTCTATCGTCAATAATGGTACAGAAAAAGTCTCAGTGGGGTCTGATGCTGATGGCTTGCGCCCTCGTTCACCTACACGTTCGGGTGGTCGGAATATGCAAGAATCCAGTTTCTCTCTGAGTGGTAGGTTTATTTAGAAAACATTCCAGTCATAGAATTATCCTTAAACGTTATTCGTTTCAGTTTTATAACAGGCAAGGACGTGTAACATTCATGTTGAGCTATTCATGAAACAACTAAAAGTGATTAGGTTGATTGATGGGAGTAAAATTAAAATTTATAGTAATAATAACGAACGGTAAACTACTTGAGAAAGTAATATTTTAAGACTCAGACGGCAAGTTCATGTCTTATTTGGGTATCTCCTTGGCCCAAAAGATTATGATCTAGAACATAGAGTCAGAGATTAGGAAATTCGCAGAATGAACAACTGCGATTCGCTGTTATCTTGATATTGTTCATTCGGGGTGTGAAATTTTATAAGCAGTAAACCGAATATGGTCCATAAATCATTGGGTTATTTGTTGATCTGATGAATAAACTGATCAAGTCCTATGCATATATCCGATTCTAAAAGCTACAATGTAGTCCCATATTAATATGACGCACACGTTAAGTGAATTAATGCTTGATGATCATACAAATCAATAAAATTAGAGTAAGGAGCAGTCAAGTAGTTATCTAAAAGCCTGAATACAAAGCTCTTTAACGTGTAATATCGTTGTCACGCATACTATTACTTAGCCTGAAAAGTCTAGCATAAATCCAAATCCTTGACTTGATGGTCGAAATATCAAATACAAACTATCAAGTCACAAATAATTGTTGTAAAGCGTCAATTTATGTTAATACACTATGAAATGTGTGATCAGTCTATCTGCAAACCTTTGAAAAATTACTTGATTCAACTCTACCAATCATAATTTACCATTGTAACTGCAAGGTCCAGTTTGTGACTGACGCCATTGTGTCTAGTAGCACCTTCAAAGAATTAGTGTTGTAGGCTGTAATAGTGGGATAGTGAAGTGCATGATGTGATGCTGTTGGCTGAGTTAAACAATTAAGAGCTAGAGATAGCCATGTGAACCGCGTTAGAAACAAGATTCAACTCAGGTTTGTAAAATTTCAATTTCAGTTGAACTAGTGAAATAGCCAAATAAAACCATTAGTCACATATTTAGTGGAATACTATATTACATGCACATATACGACGATTAGAAAGATTGCATTGTAATATCTCTAGTGTTATATATTTTCTAGTCTTTATGGATCAAGTATCGAGTATAAATTATATAGTAGTCTTACAGATGAGAACGTTTCACCATTGGTGATAACTTTGTTGCATGACGTAACAACTCGATTTTATTGTGTAAAACTAAATATAAACATAATTGTACAAAACTAATAGATAACATCTTCGAGAGGAGTTTCTTCGCTGAACCGTCTTCATTTTGTTTAAATAAATATTGGTTACATGGATAATACCATAATGTCAAGACGTTTGAACGGAAAAAATTTTCCTCGACGATTTCGTTTACTACGAACAATTATGTTGTGGTGTGTGCTACTAATGTCGACAGACACAAGTAGTATGTATCATCTATCAAACGTGATGATTTTACATTTGGTTGTCCCGCCTGGTGTACTCGTTTACTACAATGTAGCTAACTGAAATATCGAAACTACAAAGATTTAAGACCCATCTACTTTTAGCATACTCACGTTAATGTATGACTAACAAAATATATATGAAAGACTATTGAATATAGAAAAAGTCTATTTATATTAACTTAGAAAAACTTCAGGCACTAAAATTATAGTTTATTGTCAGTTGATTCAATAAGGAAAATACTCTTTTTTGCTTACATCTGCGACTGCGTATTTAAAGTTAGTGAGGTAACGTTCTGGCTATTTTATTGGTTTTTGGACTTTTCATTTCTTGTGAGGTGTTATATTCGACTTTTGACATCTTTTTTAGGCGCTCAGTACGACGATAGGCGTCCGATTCGCACGGGGATTCGAACCAAACAACCTCCGGGTGGGGCGTCAAATGCCTTATGGTAGATATTCATTAATAAGTCTTGTATATCAAAAGTTTGGAGCTCAACATCAGCGACACTACATAATCAACATGTATTTACTGAAATTGTTTAAGATACACCTGGTTCTTTATTATATGTGCTCACAGCCCAAATTATATGTAGCTTCGTTGAAAAACTTGATCGTTATCCTAGTTATGGTTGTTTATCAATTCAAATATAATACGCTACTTCATAAAAATATTAATTACTAAAGATTTTCTTTTTTTCTCCGTGCACTGTTACGAATGTCTTGGTATGATCTGACAAGAAGATACATGCATCGGATTGCATTTACTGAGGCGTCCGTTTGAAATCTGAATAATGTGTCTATTTAGGTGGGTACCAGTCGTGCAACCTCACTCTTGCACGCAAACTAAACTACTTACTTTAAATTCCATATTAAGACATAATAGGTGCTGACAAAACTATTGTTTATTGTAGACCTAATAAGTTTACAAGCTCCAATGTAAGTGGCGAATAATTTTGTAACTAATATTACAATGAAGCTTCCAAGCCTTGTTCTATACATTTGCGTTTTAAATGGGACTGCGGAAATATTGTCAATGCATATGATAACATAGACAATAAAAAAAAAACAATATATTGGAGATTTCAACCATTCAAAATATCATTATTGTACATAAAATCGGTGGTTCATGTCAGTATTCACATTGATCAGCTAATTACCGGGTAATTGTTAAGCATCCATAATATGTATTTAGCGACTATTTTTTAAATGCCGCCATACGACCTTAAAATGCAAAAAGTTGTTTGGCAAAACAATTTCGCTGCCGCTTGTTCATAAGTTTCTCAACTAGATGAAGTAGTCGGAATTTGCAACGTTGAATTGAGACCAACTGAATTTCTTCTGGATTGTGGTGTATTCATTCGAAGGAATACTTCAACATTTGTTATGCAATTATATTCAGATCTACTAATACCTCTAGTTTTAATATCATCATGTTCCACAAGCTAGAAACGGAAAAAGAATACAATAATTTACGAACCATTATTGACGATTTAGAGCCGTTGTCGGGGGTTAAAAAAATTGCCAATGTTATCTGCCAACAATTGGATTACAACGTATTGAATATTTGATTCACTTCACCAGCCGAATTCAAAAAAACTTAATAGCTCTACATCGCTACAGATTTTGATCGTTCTAGTGGTTACAATTTTCCAGTTTATTCACTAAGTGAAAACCGCCCTGGTTCTTTGCATTGACAAGGTGAAGTCAAGTGACTGACTGTGTTTGGATTGTGAATTCGCGTTTCGGAGACGTAGACTAAGGAATCGTGACGTCGTATCTGACACAATGTTCGAACATTGAAAGCCAGTATATGGTTTGACGCGTGCTGAAAGAGATATATGAGGAGCATTCGTTGTGGGGGTAGGAGGACTAATAAGAGAGAGAGAGAGGATTTATGGTACCTTCAAAAGGTATCACTGCGACCGTGACTTTTCCCGGTTGCGCATACCGTGGAAAGTGTGAGTAATCCTGATGAAGTTGTAAACCTCTCCGATTAGGGCGAGCATGCGTCACTACTTAAAGGTAGGATCAGGTTTAAATGGTAGGACTGTTACACAAAAGGTCACAGACTGTTGATCTGGAGTCGTAAGCGTATACTCCGTCGATAAAGGTAATTGAAGTATAAAAGTAGGGATGACTTGGGAAGTCGATAATTGTAGACGTACAACCTTTGTTTTCTAAATTCCGAATACATAACTTATCAATTATTTAATTCCGCGAACTTGTGTTTGTTAAGTTTAGTTTTTCTACTACTTTTGTTTATTTCTTCTATATATGCTGTTATAAAGTATCGTAACTTAGATACTTTTGAATGCGGTTTTCCATTGAACATATGTCTATGTTCATGTGATTAGTTAATTTCATTTTCTCATGTGTACAACTTTCTAATAAATATAATACTAATTAATTAGTAATGTGATTTATATGAGTACAAACTGGTCACCGAGATGAATCTACTGCTTTTGTATATACTCATAAATAGTAGATACAAAACAGAACATTTTGAGTCAATAAAATCATGAAAATTCTATATTGCGTTGATAGATCGTCAAGAAGTGCTTTCCAGTTTTCCGCTATAAAGAAGGCGAATCATATAGAAATAACAATTTAACATTGTACACCCCTTTGAATATTGAAAAATATCATTATGTACAGAAAATAGAATAGAACTTACAGATTCATATGAAGGTCTTATTGGATAAATATCGGGTTGAATATTAAGATTTGAAGCTATAAGATTTAACGGTTCAGAGTGAACATCGGTACTCTGCTCTCCATCGGAATGATCTAACTCCATATGGTGTACATCCATTACAGCAGCTATCATGAAAAAATGAGATAAACGTCAAACTATATAAGGAAGTTTAAAAACACCGGAGAACTGATATCAAACTTTCAAATATCTAGTTTATAAAGAACTAAGGTCTTAAGAAAACGCATAGAATACTGCTTGTGAGCATAAAGTTGGTGAGTAATCTTTGAGAAAATTGAGGTATCTTATGAAAGACATACTCTAAGTATATCCCGATAACACGTCTGAAAATTCCCTTTTCGAATTTTGGCATCTTCAAGAAAATATCATTAGAAATAGGATGAGCCAGTCAGCTACAACGTAGGACCAGGCACATATGTGCATCGGTCCAAGATGCCACAACTCAATAGCACATGATGAACGCCGGATTCATAATGTAGCTAATTCAATAGTGGTAATATATAAAAGAAGGAGTGTATATGAGGATATAGTACAGGAAAGAAGAATTAGTTCATAGAAAGAAAGGTATAAAGTAATTTTAATCTCACAGTTTAAGGGAAGATAAAGGGCGAATACATCTACACCGTTATGATGAATTCTAAGCCATGTCACGCAGTCTCCAGCCATTGGTTACGATAGTCACGCGGACCCCAACCAAGTAGTCTGCACCTAACAACATGACTCAGACTAGAAGTTGGTGACTTCAAGTACTGGTGCCACGTTTTGGTTTGGCCGCCCCTAACTTTCTTTCGACCATCCCGAACACCAGACAGCATTGCGCGTCGTGATAATCAGTGTTCAGGCATAAGAAACACGGCCCAACCATCTCAGTCGATGAAGATTCACAACCTCATCAACTGATTTAACATCATTCCCTAATATCCTGCGTCTAGCCTCACTATTACTTACCCGGTGATCCCAGCAATATTTCTAAGGCATCTGTGGCCAAATACTAGTAGCTTATGAGTGTCTTCCACTATTAATGGTCACGTTTCACAGCCGTAAAGTAGAACAGAACGAACTGCCGCGCAGAAACTGGAAAGACGACACTCTTATCAGCCGAGATGTTTAGAACGATGGACGGAACAGTTTGGCTGGCCTATAGCTACTCTACATCTACCCATCATTCCCAGACAGCGTGAATGGAATATTGAAGTAGGTCCCCCAACTCTATCTGAAGTTTAAAAGGTATTGTGAATCGCGAGTTGGCTACTCTAAATTCTACCGATTGACAAGCTTCAGATAACCCAGTTCGACCCCAATACTGTTCCCAATCTCCAATATATCAGAACACGAACCGTAGATGAAAAATCGTTTATGGGGTCAGGAGCAGCAGAATAATGATTTACAAACAAATGCATATTTATACAGTTAGGATTACTATAAATATTGACCAACAGAAAGATGACACGTTAAATAATATTGACCAATACGAAAATGACACGCGAAATAAATATTGATCAGTAGGGAAACGATCAATAGGAAAATAACACCATTTAACGTTCAAGGGTAGCGTTAGACTTAACTGGATAATTGTTTTTGGGATATTTTTCTGAGTATCCAAACACTTCCCCTTTGGAGAAGTTAATAGCGACGTAACCGAGGGTTTACTTGAAGTTTCTTTGGGTGTCTTCTTTTGCGATCCGACCTCCGAGGCAACCACACAGAACCAGAAGGATGTTCTACTTGAGTAGATGACTTTGTCGTCTCTGTTGGAGGTATTGGCGGAAGTTGAAACGTGTCCAACAGCAAGTCGAGTGGGACGCGTTTTGTAATTGCTTCTTTCTCCTTCGCTTCCCTTGACCTGAGTTGATTGTGGTGCCTGGTCCAGATTTCTTGGTTCACTTTGACATCATACATGACGTCCCCATGTTTTTGTGTTATTTCACCATCTACCCATTTATCACATCCATGTCTATAATCTCGCGCATACACTTTTGTACCAACTTCGTAGGGAATTCGAGTATTCTTCATCTGGGGGCTTTGCTGGGCCACTTGCTTGGGTTTCATCGCACCATGAACTGTCCGTAGCTTTCGCCCCATAAGCATCTCAGCAGAGGATTTGGAGTTTGGCAATAAGTCATGCGGGGTCGTCCGGTACGCAACTAGGAATCGTTCTATGATATCTTCTGTGGTCCCCTCTCCTCGTGCTTTGGACATGGCTCGTTTAAATGTATCAACGAACCTTTCAGCTTGTCCACTAGATTGCGGGTGAAATGGCGGAGAGCGAACATGGTTGATCGAATTTTGCAGGCAAAATTCTCGGAATTGGCTAGATGTGAATTGCGAACCATTGTCTGTTACTATTGTTTCTGGAAGACCATGCTGAGCGAATATCCGAAAAAGGAGTTTGATGGCTCGAGTTGTAGAGGGTGGCGCAATTGACAATATCTCCGGCCATTTGGAGTAGGAGTCAACCAGTATCAGATATGTGGTACCATCTAGGGGTCCGGTGAAGTCAATATGCACTCGCGACCAGGGTTTTTCTGACTTTGGCCAGGGTACTGGAGGCAACTTAGGAGGATTTTTCGCAGCTTTTTGGCAATGTGAACATCTTTTGACGAAGTCGACAATCTGCTTGTCCATATTTGGCCAATATGCATAGCTGCGAGCGATGGATTTCATACGGTCTCTCCCTGGGTGTCCATAGTGGAACTGGCGTAGGACTTTGAAACGTAGAGTTGTTGAAATTGCTACGCGATCACCGAACATCAGACAATCGTTAACAATACAGAGAGCGCTGCGACGATTCGCTAATTGTTGCATATCACCACTTAACTGCCATCTGCTCTGAACATAGGTGATCGCTTCTTGGATAATCGGGTCTTCTCTGGTAGTTTCCCGAACATCTTCAGCGGTAACAGGCATTGCTCGAATGGCATTCGCTAATAGTGTAGCACCGGAATCTTCTCCGGTTGATACTATGGCTATGAGTGTGTCCTCACCGGTGTTAGAATGGTTACTGATAAGTCTGGACAGTGCATCCGCTTGACCAAAATCTTCGGAACGTCGATACTGGATGTCGAAGTTGTACCCCAATAACGCCAACGCCCAACGTTGAAGACGATTAGCAGAATGGGCAGGAATGCCTTTCTTTGATCCAAAGATCGATAACAACGGCTTGTGGTCCGTGAGCAAGGTGAAACGGCGCCCATAAATGAACTTGTGGAATCGCCGGACAGCAAAAATTAGGGCTAACGCTTCCTTTTCTATCTGGCCGTAGCGTTTTTCAGCAGGTGTTAGTGTTCTCGAAGCGTGCATCACCGCTTTCTCTGACCCGTCGGGAAAGACATGTGAGAGTACGGCACTGAGTCCATGTGTTGAAGCGTCAGCAGCAACCAAAATGGGTAGTTTCGGATTGTAGTGGGTTAGCAGAAGATTGGAACTTAGCATGGCTTTAGTTTTGAAAAGGCTGACTCACATTGCGTTGACCAATTCCAAGTAGCATTCTTTTCTAGCAGACGATTTAATGGATATCGTACGTCATGCAGTGATGGAAGAAATGCTGAATAGTAGCTAATCATTCCCAAAAATGATCGCAGTGAGGAGACATCAGTGGGAGCAGGCATTTGTTGGATTGCGTAAGTATTTTGAGGATCAGGGTGTCGTCCGGAAGCATCAAAGATAAACCCCAGGTACTTAACGAAACGTAAGAAGAATTGGCATTTTCCTGGACGCAGGCGAAAACCATTATCCTGGAGGCGTTGCAGAACTAAGTGGGTTCTGGTATGCAATTCATCAGCAGTTGAGCCGACAATGAGCACATCGTCAAGGTATGTAGCAACACCAAGACATCTGCTAGAATAGTGTCCATGATCTGCTGGAAGACCGCTGGAGCAGTTTTGATACCGAAGGGTAACCGGGTGCACTGAAAAAGTCCTCGGTGAGTGTTGATTGTCAACAACTCTCTGGATTCTAGAGCGACTGGGATTTGAAGGTAAGCATCTGCCAGATCCAGCTTAGCAAAGTAGGTACCACCATTTAAAATAGTAAATAAATCATCTGGGATCGGCAGCGGATAGTGATGCTGATGTAGAGCCGCGTTGAGGCCTGTGGAAAAGTCTGCACAGATGCGTATGGAACCATTGGAGTTTTTTACAACCACAATTGGTGCAGCCCATGATGAATAAGAAACAGGTACTAGGACACCCTCAGTTTCCAAACGTTGAAGTTCAGCGTCAACCATAGGTAAAGATGCGTATGGGACTGGACGCTTTGGGCGAAAAACAGGCGTAGCTTCTGGCTGCAGTTTTAAAACAGCTTCAATTGTGGAACAAAGTCCGAGACCAGGCTTAAATAGTTCAATAAATCGTTTTCGAAGGACTTCAGCATGCTGTTGTGTAGAAGAAGTATTTTGGACTTGATTGCAGATAGCGCTGATAGGAAGATCAGCGAGACCAAGTTCTTCGAACCAATCTAAACCTAAAAGGTTGAGCGGAGAATTGGTGATGTAGCATGTCCCATTGAAGGTTGTACCTCTGAATGAAATGCAGCAATAGAGTTCACCATGAAGGCGGAGATGACCCCCACAGGCACTGATGGCTGCCTGAGAGGATGGTTTGACGGGAGGTTGGCCCAAGGTTCGCCAAGTCTTTTTCGACAGAATGGTGATATCTGATGCAGTGTCCAACTGCAAACGAACTGTCTGACCATTGATTGAGAGGGTCAGAAATTTACGTCGAGTCGCGGCATGAGTATGGAAGACTGCTGCTAAACTCCTTGATGAGGTAATCGGCTTTTTGTGAAAACGACGCTGCGTCTGTGCATTTCGACGGTTATTGGATCGGTTGGATTTGCAAAAGCCGCTTTTGTGACCAACTTTCTGACAGCGATCGCACACATGCTGTTTAAATGTACAGAACTTCACATAATGCCAGGCTCCACAGTGCCAACATGGCGAGGGGGGCTTCTTCTGAGCCGGTTTAGAGTGATTAGAGATAGAAACAGCGCTGGCGTTCGAAGGACTCGAGTTTGTCGATCTCGAAGATTTTTTTCTGGTGCTGAACAGCATGAACTTCGGAACCACCCTGGCCCCCAGTTTGGACCAAAGTGGTGTCACGCTGCAGATTGATGATGCGCTGGTACTCGTCTATGATAGCATTGAGTGTCAGTGTTGGATCTTGTTCAAGGCGGTTAAGCAACCGAGTTCTGATGTCGGAGAATTTGGGTGACTGAAGACTGCATATGAGTATTAGGGACTTGAATTGGTCTTCAGTGAGGGATCTGGGCTTGAACCGTTCGCACTCACGGTTAACAACGCCGACGTGGGTCAGGAAGTCATCGGACTCATTCATGACCAGTTTTAAGCAGCGATGATGATCACCAAAAAGTTGGCTAAGGGACTGAATAGTGGCGTCGAATGAACGGTCGCGTGGGTTCTGCGGTAGAATGAAGTTGCAATACTTATCCAGCTCGGATGGACCAAGTTTACGAAGAAGAAGACGCACCTTCCACGAATCATCTCTGTCAGCAAAGTCAACTCTGAAAAGGTCTTCATAACGTCTGAACCAGATATCAAATGTAATGTTGGCATCAGGATCATAAAGAAATTCTGAAATACCACTGGTAATACCATCAACTGATTCAGGAATTGTCGGTGCAGTTGGGACTCGAGAAGATATGTGCGTCTGAGTAATCATCTCCATCAGCTTCAGCTGCTGTTCGAACAATTTTTCTAATTTGGCTGGATCCATAGTTAAACACCAACTTGTTGCTAAATCTCCGTCGCCAAATTATTGTGAATCGCGAGTTGGCTACTCTAAATTCTACCGATTGACAAGCTTCAGATAACCCAGTTCGACCCCAATACTGTTCCCAATCTCCAATATATCAGAACACGAACCGTAGATGAAAAATCGTTTATGGGGTCAGGAGCAGCAGAATAATGATTTACAAACAAATGCATATTTATACAGTTAGGATTACTATAAATATTGACCAACAGAAAGATGACACGTTAAATAATATTGACCAATACGAAAATGACACGCGAAATAAATATTGATCAGTAGGGAAACGATCAATAGGAAAATAACACCATTTAACGTTCAAGGGTAGCGTTAGACTTAACTGGATAATTGTTTTTGGGATATTTTTCTGAGTATCCCAACAAAAGGTTATAGCTATTCTGAAACGAGAAAGAGGAGCTGGTCCAGATGGAATAGCTCCAGAGGTCTTTAGGGACGGTGGTCCAATTTTATCGATTAGGTTGACTAATATTTTAGCTAAAATCTGGGAGTTGAAATAAAAGACTATTGTATTCATACCTCTAACAGCACTCAAGGAATAGGATGAAGAAAATAGGGAGTTAATATTTCACAAATGATTTATAAATAAAATTAAAAACAGCGGGACGATTCAGCAATTCCTTTTAGGTAGACGAGCATAACAAGAAACGAGTGGGAAATATCTGTGATGACGCTTTTTATTAAGCTTAGAGTACTATTTGATTAATCTTTTAGAGAGATGAATTACTTTTCAGAAAATTATTACCATAAATATTAGTAAGATTCAACGCTCAATTAACCAATAAAAAATATTATAGCTTAATTAACTTTCTGTATAAATACGTCAACCGTGCACTGAAAGATTACCCATTCAATTTGCAAACTGTAAACTATTAAACACCAAACAAAGGCAAAGATTTTACTTCATGGTAAGTTTTACATTGTCACAGACTGCTAGGTTTGAAGCTATTACAAGTTTACTAAGTATGCGAACGGAACAAAGACTTGTGAACGTAGACCAATAAGCTAGCTATTTGATGCGTCCGAGCCCCGCTAACTAGAGGAAGAAGTCCAAGCCTGGAACGGGAAAGTATATTCCGTAGACCAGAAGCACGAGTGAATAGTAACAGACACAAATCAAACGTATATATACAGCATAAAACTATCCTTGGGAAGCGTTGCAAAAATACCATACTAAAAATACACAACGGACCAATAGCGTTAAGCAGACAACACAAAAATCATGGAATGTCTCGAAACTTGGTGAAATTAGTGACAGTTTATATTGGTCTATTAACGTTGGAGAAGAGGGAATGTAATATACACTGAGGAATCTTTTTGAATCTATAAGTACTTTGAAAACTTTGCCGGGGTCAATAATACCCTACGAGGAAATATTATGATTTAAAATGAAATTGGTTTTATTTTATTTTTGTCAATAATAAAGTAGGCATTTCTGAGGAAGGAATAATTCCAATCTTTCTTTGGACTCAGATACATACGTTATAAAAGGTGGAAGTAAAAGCATACTAACTTATGGGTGGATACAATATGTAAAAAATGGCATGATAATATAAATTCGGTCATTTTTATAAACCTATGGTTGAATAAAAATGTCCTAATAAAAATCTGTAGATATTTAAATGAACTAAGACGACAAATGAGGGCGAGATTAGCTACTTGGTTTGAAGTAACAAATGTGTATAATATTAAAGTTAATATGGGACTTGCAGTAATCAGAAATAGGTTTCATATTGCTCAGAAGTTAACATAGATATAAGTTGAAGATAATTCATTTACAGTTGCAATAAAACATGAGTATTCAAATTTTCATAATGTTTACAAACAAATAAAGAACCTTAACGAAATTAAAAGATATTCAGATATATATATATATATATATATATATATATATATACCAATATTCAAAAAAAGATAATTTCCTAATGAATAAGTAAAATTTAGTCCATATTCCTTCACTGTATCAATTAGGACATGGTCCAATGATTTGGAACTTATATCAGGAAACTGAATGGCAAGTAAAAAAAACTAAGCATAATTATTTTAGCTAGTAATCAACTTTACAGAAACTTCCATGAAAATAAATAGTAAAATGAACAACCACAACTTTGTTAGGGCGTTCACAACACTTATAATAGTCACTTGAAGACTTGAAGGTAGGAACTAGTCAAGATTGTAAAATCATCGCATCACGTAAACCTGAAAAATCACCGATGAAATTGTACAAATGAAAGGATTCTATCGATAACATTCAATAAAATAATCTAGACATACTTGCTTCTTACAAGTACATAGATATAAATATATTTTATAGTAATAGGTTATTAATCTATAAGAAAAAATTTAATTAGTTGAAATGACAGAATCATTATCGACATAATCACAGTGAAATATATCCAGTAGTTGTTCTATTTTTCGATCTAATTCATTTACGAAGTACGGATTTACGTATTTAGCTTTGGACAAGATATTCTACAGGAGGGCTAGTGATACTACTCAACTTATCAAATCAAAGTAGGTGTCACATAGTTTAACTCTGTAAGCCAATGACATAAAACCGAACCCTATAACCACTTATATTAAGGATATCTAGTAAACTTTATCAAATAAAGGATTATTTACTGACAGGAATATATAAACTTGGTGACTCAGTCATAGAAGTTTTGATTTTTGTCATAACTATATCGTTAATTTGTATGACACTACTTTACAAATATAGCTAATATGAGTGAACTTTCACTTACCAGCCATTGAGTCAGTAAACGAAATATCACCAATTGATGGAGAAACTGGTGGATAACTACAAACAGAATCAATTGTTCTAAAGTCAAGTGATTTTTCAGCATTCTCTTCTATTTTAAGTGAAACATTTACATCATTGGTTGTAGGTGTAGAGAATGTTGTTTTATGTAAATCTGGCGTTGATAATTCATTTAATGGAGATAGAGTACTATCAGTAGGTCGAGCAGATGATTCAGTTAATATATTTTGATTATCATGAGTAGAAGATAAAGGACAACGTGGACATAATGTATTTAACAGGGATGCCAGTGTATCATTACTGAACGATGATGATGACATAGAGCATTGATTTGTCTCTGTTGAGACTAACAATAGATCATCCATATTAACATCTGTATTAGAAGAATTTTTAGATAATGAAATAAAAGACATTACATTATTAGATTGTAATGATGATAAATTTGGTGATGATAATAAGCTCGATATGCTATGAACTTGAGGTAACTGATCATTGAAAACAATTGATGTTGTTACCATCGGTTCATTATTCGATACATTAATGGATGACCATAAATTATTAGAATTTGATGGTGTTGAAAGTGTTATTGATTTAGAATGTATATTATTAACAGATGCTTCATCACCTTTGATTGTTGTCAAAGTTTGATTATCGATTGCCTGTAAATTTGATCATATATGTACAGATAGATGAATACAGAAAAAATTATTTACCAGTATAGGGTTGTGAAGTTTGTTGAATTTCATTGAAATCATGAATCGATTAATGTTAGACTACAATTGAAAACCTAGAAGCACTGCACAGCCGTTTCGTTCTAGTATGAGACTCTTTGGTAGTGCATATCCACAATCCCGCACGCTGGACTCGGACCAAGTACCTCCAGTCTCGCGTGGACGCTCAGCCTCTAGAACACTGAGCCGGGATCCAATAATTTTAATGTCATATTTCAACAAGTCCACGATATTGAGCAACCAACTTCACGTTCGCACGAAACCGAAGGTACTGAGTTTGAGTCCCGCGTGCGGGATTGTGAATACGCACTACCAAAGAGTCTCATACTAGAATGAAATGGCTGTGCAGTGCTTCTGGGTTTTCAATGGTGGTCTAACATTCATAGGCTCATGACTTCAATGAAATTCAACAATCTACACAATCCTATAATGACAAATATCATGTGCTTAATGGTGGCTGGCTTCGAGAGGTAATTTTCAATTCTAGTGAGAAGCTATGACCAGTGGAGATCAACTGTGTGAGGTATGACGCAGTTACCCACCGAGGATAATGATCACTTATCAATGTATCTACTGAACAGTTTCTTACTATAAACTGTAAAAATACATGATTAGTTAAATGGTACACAGACAACTCAGAAGTTACGAATGGGATGTGCATTTTAAATATCAGTCTCAGTCGTTATTCGAAATATCATACTATCAAACAAGTTAACGATGTCTAATAGTGATTAATCTAAGGCGTAATAATCGATATACAGTTGTCTTACAACTAAAATCAGTTCGTGATTAAAATTATATCAAAGTTACTAGTCACTTTCGTGGAACCGAAAACTTCAATATAACATAAAATTCACTTTAAAAGGAACGCTTACCTGAAGTGATTGAACCGAAGATTTAGTCGTACAAGGATTTGCTGAAGTATTGTATGATGGAGGTAAATTATTTGAAATAGATGTAATTGTTGATGGTTTTGATTGTAATTCTTTAGTTAGAATCGAATTTTCAGTTAAACGTTTGTTGACTTGTGATATAATACTAGTTCGACGTCGTGCATTAAATGCCTTTAACGATTCTAACGATGAAGTTACAGGTGAATTATTTTCATTCTCAATCATATATGTGGACGTTGAAGGAATAGAACTAGACGATACAAAAGTGCCTGTTAATGGTGTCGATGTTTTTACACTGACTTGAATGGGTACAGTTGATTGTTTCGGTAGTAATGGGATATATGGTCCTTGACTCATTGCTACAGTTGAAGTTACTTGTCGTTCATGGTCTAATTGTCGTTCAACAATAGGAACTTGTATCTAAATACATTAGAAAAAGAAAATATTAGTGCACAAATAGTGAAATCAGGAAGAATTCGAGGGAAACTTAGCGTCTGCACACAGATCACTATGATTGAAATAAACCCCAAAATTGGAAGTACAGTTCATATACATATGTATAGTGTAAGAATATTTTGGTCATAAATATCAATTTACAAGATAAAGACAAATTTCTTCAATGACTGATTGTTCTGTTTCCTAATATCCATTTATTCGGGTTTGGCGTAAAACCTAGAATTTCGTGAACGGTCATCACTGGATCACAAATTCATGTGATCGATCACACATCATTATAAAAACAGTGAATATGGAATTGACATTGTATGAATTTTAATCTTTGCTGTTAAGTATTCACAGCTTAGTTAAGTTATACAACAATTATATGTAAACATAATGGACTGTTACAAAAGGCATAATAAAACAATGCAATCTTCTGTTACTAGTAGTATCGATCGATGTTAGTAATTCGTGCAGATCGTATTGAATCTAGTGAAGTCCGAACTAAGAACAGATGGATGCCTAATTTACTAGGTAAGTCCAACATGTTGATAGTTTATTGAGTAGTCAATCAGTCAAGTACAACGTAAGACCAGGCATATATATGCATCGGTTCAAGTTGTCACACCTCATTATCACAACAAGGTGAACACAAAATTTATGGAAGCAGTTACTTCAACGGTAGTATTATATATAAATAAAGATTGCATATAAGGATACAGGGATAAAGAATTAGTTCGTAGAAAGAAAGGACTAAATTGATTTTAATCTCATGGTTTAATAGAAAACAAAGAGTTTATACACCTACGCCATTGATTCTGAACCACGTCACCCAGACTCAAACCACTGGTTAGGATAGTTGCGTGGACCCCAACCATGTAGTCTGCATCTAACAACATGACCAAGACTAGAAGTTAGTGACTTGAAGGACTGATGCCGCGTTTTGGTTTGACCGTCCATAACTTCCTGTCATTCGTCTCTAATACTAGTCAAAACTTCATTGATAAAACAAGGATTCAAATTGTGTTGTAAAAATCTGCTTATATAATTTGTGGCTTCTGTCAGTTAAGCTTTCACATTAAAAAAACAAGCTTCATACTTAAACTAACTTTTTGTCCAACTGGTTGTTGTAATAAGACTAATTTTGGACTTTGAACTGAAGCTATTGGAGGCTTCATTAAACTATTTGTTGTTAATAATGAAGAAATAATTGGATTTGAAGCTGAAAAGGTGGAATTCAGTTGGAAAATGGATGGCTGTCCATTAATAAGAACCTGTATAGTATTTGGCTGAGAATACATCATAACTGTCGGTTGCTTTGCTGAAATACTGGTAGTCACAGTTGAAGGTAGTTGAGCTGTAACCATAATAGGTAATTCGGATATCTGTGAAAGATGACTTCCAGTTAATGTTTTTGGTAATAATGTTGATGTGCAGCTTTGAGTTGCCGCGACTGTAGTAACTGTTGAGATGTTAACGCTAGGAATAGCTTGAGAAGAATGACAAGATGCAGGGACTGGCGTGTTGCTTCGAATAGGATGACGAGACTGAAATTGAAGATTACGTTATTTAAATATAACTGAATTACATAAACAAACGAATTAAATTAGATGAAAAAAATAGGTTAAAACAGATCTAAGATTATAATCTAAATCAATTCATACGTAAGTTTGTTGGAGGATGAGTAACTAACTAAAACAATTTATTATTAATAAGTTTATTGATGACAGCCGACCATTCAACCAAAACCAGGAGTTAACTTAAGCATTCGTTTTCAAAATCTAAACATTGTGAAGAAATGAAATAATTAATTCTTTTCCACACGTTACTTCATTTTACAAAATAATTCAAAAAGAAAGAGCAGTAACATTATCTTACTACGCTAAATAAAACTGGTTTTGCTGGCTTAAATGGACAATCTATTCGTAAAAACTATATAAAACAAGTCAGATATATATGATAATATTTAAAAACATCATTAAGGGCATGGAAATAAGTCAACTTACAACCCAATCACGATGAAGTAAATAATCACTGGCATTCAAATGTAAAAGACGCCTTAAACCATTACTTATACCGTCTCCATCTGGATCTAATGGTGGACATATTACTAAGTCGGAGTAAGATGAATTCAATTGTTTCTGTAATCCTTTATCTTTAGTGCAGAAAAATTGATATTCAAAACGTATACGGTCTGGACAACCCAAAGACAAATAAATAGTTACCAGTTTAATTTCACGTGCCATCTGACATAATTGAGAAAAAAAAGAACTGTATCGCATTTGCAAAACCGAGTCAAATTAGTCAATCAGTGAAAAAAATTCATTAAAAAAACATAAAAATATTTTAACATTATCCAAATTACCCATTAAATAACTACACGCATCAATGTTCTAGACCGAGTATTGATGGAAATTTGCTGAATAAGTCGTAAAGAGCGTGTGAACTGAAAACTTGTAATTTTTATTCAGTGTTTTACTCAATGACAAATATATGTTTTTTAAGTGAAAATGGTCGTTGGATAGCAGTGGAATCCAGGATGCACGTTTCGTCCTATTTGGGACTCGTCAGCTGGATGTGCCTGCATCTCAGAGTTGATTTTCACTCCGGGACTGAAATTGGCCAGTGACGTTGTACCTTGAAAATTATGCAACATGAAATTAAATATGCATTTGAAAAGTATTCTGTCTGGTATCATGGTGAGAAAAATTAACTTGGCTTCTTCAAATGAATGAACAAGTTGATCACGTAAAGTGGGGAAGCAATGCAATGTTTAATGCCATATTTTTATGATCATATATATATTTAAATAAAAGTACTTAGCTATACCAATGACTTATCAAGTAAGTTTACATAGTTTTCTTCTGAAATTAGAATAGTTACTTCAACGCCCCCAAATGCCCTGGTACGGCCGAGAGTGGGGAGAGTTCGCTCTCCCTCTCGAAATACTCTCACACGGCCACGCGTATACAGCCTCTGCCAAGGAAGTCCTACTCATTGCCTTCTCGTGGCGGGGGTGTTGTTTACGAAAATGAGAGAACGAGAAGCGAATGTACGGTCCTTTAACCGGATCCTGAACCAATGGTGCCATTTACAACAAAACTCTAAATAAGCATAATTATACTACCCCACACACCTACCTCACGTGTAACACCAATTGATAATTGCTTCCCAAGATCTCTTAGATCTAACTCAGCATTTGACGTTGATGTAGTAACTGACAAGCCATTAATTGATTCTGAATTTCTGAGATCTGACGTGCGCAATGATGACGATGTTAAGTTTGGTGTCGAATTCGAAGTGACTAAATCTGGAGATTCCACAGGATCTTCATGAACTGCATCTTGTTTTTCTGATAATCAGAGTAAAAATAAAATTAGCTAATGGACAGTTTTAGACACCTATCATCCTGGAAACGTAACCCGGTAAAAATTGGGAAACATGATAAAAATATCTTACTTATGTAAATAAGCGTAGACTTAATGAATTTGAATTTGGTTTAGCGAAAATACAAACTAAATGATAGCCTTATTCAAAGTTATATGTTTGGTACAATGTGGGATTCTCAGTGTAAAATACATTGATCTTAAACAATGGTAAATATTTGAGTGAAAATATTGTGGTAGTGAAGGACACTGAGAAGTCATACTACCTATATATTGGTCTCATCTAAAGCACTACTGAGAACGAAGGAGCACTAAACAGATGTTACGGAACTCTTCAAATGTGTGGATCCACGATCGAACTGTAGACCTTCAGGACTCACAGAGAACACTTGAAATTTACATGGATATTTAATTTCCGACATGGTTTGATCGTAAGAATAATGAACATGGATTAAACATCAAACAAATAAGTCAATACTAACTATTAGGGATTCCCTATTTTTTGCGTAACGGTACGTTTATTATTATGACAGCTAGGATTTTATGTGAATATATTACGTTATATAGTTCACTACCAATATTTCTCTAACACACAACTGAGCTATTTCTCTCATGCGGTAGCAATCTTAAGTTCTGTTATTAGAAAGAACAGTTTCGTTAGATTAACGGTACTGTTATGAGAATTCTCTTGGGTAAAAATGCATGAAAAGCACCTTTAAATATCTAGAATTATGTTTTTGATTCGGATACGTATTACAATGTACGACTGAAAGACAGGATTATCAAGAAAGCCATGTGGAAAATTTAGATTTTCTTAACATAGAGGTGACCGGAGACAGATGGTTGAATATTTCAGAAGATCACTTATTATGTACATACAATTATGTGTTCATTCAATAGCTTATTGAAGGTTATTAAATTACAACCCGGTATTAAAATAGAGAATCAGAATCCCAGCCAATGACAATCAAGTTATTATTTAGTGTTGACAAAGTGTAAACTATAATTGATTAAAGAGATTCATCGAAGTTTCATACACACTCTGCCATTTTATTTTAAAGTGTGTTGTGCTGGGACGTTTACGAGAATAGATCACTGCAGACTGAACAACATGTAATCGACCACAACGGAAGAGATATTATCGTGTCTACCACATGCATATCACTTTATGAGATATTATTCCAAATTATAAATCCAACCACTCAGCTAGTGAATGGATGTGCAACAATTCACTTACATCTTAACCAATACAAAACACAGAAAAAGAAACAAAATTCATCAAAATAACAAAGAAAAAATCCCTAGTTTACATAGTTTGTTGTTAGAGATCAACTATCTACAACACAAGAAAATGAAGTTACACAGTTATTGCACACAACACAGTATTCAAGGTTATAATTTACGAAAAGTCTATATATTCTACATACTATTATAATTACCGACAAATTCAATGCTTTAGGTTTAAAAAAATATGTATTTGTTTCTTGGAAGGAATGATTAAATTCAGTCTAACTGATGATGGTCAATAAAATGATCAAATTACAATGATAGGGTCCATAATCCAGTATACGTAAAAATTTCTTTTTACCAAGAAGAAAAACAATCATAATTATAAGATCTTAACACAAGAAATAGCTACCTAATGTTAACATAACTGAGCTGACAAGTCATTGATGCATCACTGTAAAGTATATTAAATTCTTTCAGTTCCGGTTGTTGATGATGATTTGTATTACTATAATCAACTTACATATTACATATTATATCCAAGATAATATTCGAACATTCAAAAATATTTGAAGATTAATTTTCTTAGACTAACACCTAAAAGTACCATAAGACTTACCAATCAGATGGGTCATACAGATCTGACTACAATATTTCAAGCGATCAACAGAAAGAACAATAGAATAGATATTTAATTTGATATTAGTTGACATTTAAAATTTGTTTGAATTTTGAATTATTGAATATATAAGTATGGCATGCTGATTGCTGCAACTGCCTTATAATGATAATATCAAAGTATTCTAGTCATTTTAACATCAATCATTTAATTATAGATACAAAAATCCTTTAATCTAACTTCATGATGAGCAACTGAGTTGTAGCAATTGCAATGAAACAATGGATATGATTTACAAGTAAATACAATGGTAGGTGTTTCAATAGAATTAAAAACTGGATTTATTAGATGACAATATTTGATACATACAAATCAGGGTTACTCAAAAAATAGGCATTTCAGTATATACATAATTACGACTTTCAAGAGTAAAACTTGAAAGACAGAAAACCGTAAGAATCAGAATAACTAAATATTTTGAAAATAGTATGGATTAATCTTTCTATGCCAATAAGTTTTTTAAAAACTTGACAACCTTGAATGATTTTCGCACCATAAACTAGAGATAGTATCATTGAATGAAGCAGTGGAAACCGGAGGCCTGAATGAGGATTCAGGAAAATTTTGAAATTCATTGAAAGCAACCTTATAAAGAAAATGCTATTAATTCCGCTAAAATTTACTCGAATATAATAAATTATACTAACTTAAAATGCACCAGATCTAGCTATTTTTAATATGTATTTAAATAATAAAAAAATTTGGAATTTGGATATAAGGGGAAGGCTTGAACCTCAACAAGAAATATGAGAAAATAATACTGTATGGTATATGACCAATTCTATGAGAAAATTTCGGAGATTCATTTATATATTGTTGTATCTGAACTACTTACCTCTACCGAAATGCAAATGTTCCTCACGTTGATTTTAATCAAAAGCAGATATCACCACGATTAACATTTAAAATAAAGTAACATTGAACTAATGTTTCAACGTATTTTAGCACTATTTACTTGCTAGTACTCATAAAACGTTATTTTTTGACAACGAATTTAAAAGAATTCTGCATTGTAGAGTTGTGCAATGATGATGTGCTATTAGCTCTAATCATTGAGTCTCAGACTAGAACTCTGCTTTATTTACTTCGGTTTAGATAGCTGCATAGTGTCTCTTATTCTCAGATAATTTTGCTCGATTGCTCAGAAGCAGCATCTTACCATATCTTGTAACTTAACCAATTATACTTTTTTCTTACCAAAAATGTTTTCTTGAGAGGATTTCACCATATATATATATATATATATATATATATATATATATATTGAACAGGTACATTTTTACAAGATCCAAAAGCTTCATTTTTACGATGACTGAATTGGAGCCTACGAGTTAAACTTAAAGTTGTTTTTAAGAATAGTCAAATAAAAAGATTTTCTAGAACTAGACAGGACTGGATATATATCTTATTTTATCATGACAATAATAATCCTTTAACATCTGTTACTTGAAATAAGGGATAGACAGATTGATAATATAGAATAATATTAAGTTTAGGACAAGACAAGAAGTTGTTAATACCAATTTCGAATCATTTCACGTAAATTTGGTGATCATATTCTAGCACTTTCATGATGCGAGGTGAACAGGATTGATAAGGTTACATAAAATTTCCTATATACAAGCCTTCGAACGGTTACTGAGCGAGAAGTTCATTGGGTTAGAAGATGAATTAAAATGCATAAGAACTTTATATATATATATATATATATATATATATATATATATATAGAGAGAGAGAGAGAGAGAGAGAGAGAGATTTCATCACCCAACTTCATAAGATTGGTGAGACACTTTGGCTACGTAACTCCTAACCCTTTTAATAATTTATTCTCTAGCTTCACACTCAAAATAATTATAGACCAGTTCTTAAGTCGCATTATACAACTAAAAAACGGGAAACTTATTTCAAACATTTTAACATTATCAAGGAACGTATTTATTTAACATCATTGCCAGAGTTCTTACCACACACAACGATAATATCTGTGGATCCTTATTCGATGAGAAAATTCCAAGATGACGAATTACATTCATGGGAAATCAGACGAATAAAATGATATATGTAGGATTAATATCCATAAAGAAAAAATTGTTAAGTGACAACAATTATATAGGTAATTCAGATGAATGGCTATAAGCCGTGACTAGAAAAAACCATCGAAATCAGTTATCTGTAGTGTACTAAGGTAATTTAATCGAATTATCAGAAGACTTTAAAGTCAATTAAGTAAATTGTTGCTTATCGGTTACTGTTTGTCACTACAGTCATACATCAGTAAGTATATTTGCGTGGAGAACAACTACAACCATAATCAAAAAAGTACAGGTATTTATAAACAATTGTCTAAGCGAGATATTTAATATTTGTTGGACGGATACCATCAGCAACAACCGATTATTGACAGAGAACAAACGAACTTCCAAATGAAGAGGAAATTAGAAAAGACGCTGGATGTAGGTAGGACATATATTGAGGAGATATCATTAAGCTGGATCACGAGGCAAGCCTTAACCAGGAATTCAGAAGAAAAGAGGCAGATCAAGGGACACATTGCGTCAGGGATTGGAGGTAGACATCGAAGGAATGAATAACATTTGGTAACAACTGGAGAGGGAAGCTGAACACTGAATTTGTTGGAGTCCTAGTCGGGGGCTTACGCTCCACTATGGGTAGCAGGCGTAAGTAAGATATACTAGTGTTTCATAATCTGAAAACGTGTAGAGGCATGTTACATAGACTCAACTTTATAAAGGCGCCAGGTCCAGTTTTCCTGAATTCTACTGCTACAAACTACATCTAGGTCCTACTAAATTAAGGAAGCGAGGATCTTTGAACCTATGTGGCATGAGCTGATTTACATTTAGTAAGTGTTGGACGAAGACAATGATAAGGCATTACACAGAAAACAGTAAGTTTAACGAGTATTTAGCAAACTCAACTAACGTAGTTACATCAGTCAAGCGTTTGTTTGCAACTACAAAACTACCGCTGTACAAACATTTATGATGACCTTGGAAAAAATCAAATGAAGCCAGAGATTCAGCTTTAAATAAAGATTATGTTGACGTTATTTGATAATCCGTGTACACAATATTACTACAACTGATTCATTTCAATTTTCTGGTTTCACAAAATCTTTTGAGACTATTTAACGTGCCTAGGAACAATAAAATTTAATTTCCATGAAAGCATTATATTTTAAATTTTTGTTACATAAATTAAAAAACCTAATACCCTGAAACACAAAATCTAGACCTGACGAATCCTAAGTGATTTTCTTTGAAAAACTAATTTTAAAACCACCCTTATCACCGTGAATTTAATTAGTACATATCTCAATCACATTTACGTTGTGAATGAATTAATTTTGTTAAGTTTTTTTTAAAAGTGTGACTGATTTATGCAAATCAAAATATTTCACTTCTTTTCAACACCTTGTTCAACTGTCAGAATGAAATGATTGAATGAATTGTTGAGTGATTATGAAAATCAATAGATAATTTGGTCTCATAATACTTAATTTCAGCTAAATTATTCATGTCTTCAAGAACAAACTATTGATAATTGAGACACAATATTGTTTCGGTGTTTTATTGTTTTATAAAAAATATCCATTTTACTAAATACGTACGTAGTTTATAAAAATGTTAATCAATTTTTGATTAAAGTTTAAAGCAATACATACGGTCCATTAATCACGATCAAACACTACTACACATGGTAGATTTATTAGCCACATTCAAGGAAGGTCTTTGAAAGTAATCAACTAGATCCTACAAACTTTACACAATTTAAATGTCATATACTATTAAAATTAGGGTCAAATTTGATTAATTTATGTTAGCTTTTTGTAGTTCAAAAATAAACGGATGATTGTCATCTAACAGTTAAATGAACCACTTTTCAGAAATCCCGACCGTTGTTGCCACATTAACGTGGTGGTCGGGCTTGCCTATCGTGATGAAGCAACCGAGCTATACTGGCTGGAACAACCGTTCCTCAAGGTCCTACCATGACAGACAGGTTGGCTGAAGATCGGTAAGACTAAAAGCAACAATCCCAAGGTCCGAAGGCGAAGTCGTACTGCTGACTGTACAGAGGTGTGACAGCAGTAAGGTGTTTCCTTCAGACAACCAGCATGACAGCGATGCTGCCTTCCCACAAGGAGGGGTGGGGTTAGAAAAGGTCGACCCTAAAAATGCACACCTCGCCTTATCCCACGGATATCCGTCTCCGGCGGTAAGGTCTCAATAAGTACGGAGCTAACACAAAAATTACCCATAAAAAGGTCGTGTGTGACCGACCTCAAGCAGTTGTCCCTTGGGTACTGCGGTCACGCTCTCAGGTCACTAAGACCACCTCTAATCCAATTCCCTTTTCAGGTACCTCCAGAACAACCCTTCCACGGTGTGGGCAACCGGGAAGTGATAACCGCCCTCATACCTCTAACAGCACTCAAGACCAATGTATTCATAATCAACCTCTCTCTTCAATTCCTATTGTTCCTCTTACATCGACTTTCAACACTGAACTTCCTCTTTTGGCTTCCTCCTCAAGTGTCACCATAACCAACGATTCTAGTGCGCAAAAACCTCGCTCCAAACTACACATTGGAGCCTTCAACGTACGAACCCTATGTCAAATCGGTCAACAGGCTTCCCTGGCTAGAACCCTAGAATCTCGTACCATTGATGTATGCTGTGTATCTGAAACACGCATACAGGATCCCAGTGTGGTCATTCACTTGACCTCACCTCGGCAAAACGGAGAGCAAACGAGATACACCCTCCGTGTATCTGCTATCCTGACGGCCAGCTCTCGTGAACTGGCAGGAGTAGGCATAGCACTAAGCATGAGGGCGGAGAAAGCACTGTTAAAGTGGATCCCCATTAACAGTTGTTTATGTGCTGTTCGGCTAAACGGCTACGTAAGAACTCGGAAGGATAGGGACACACGTCGTTGCCTTTTTGTCGTTTCTGCCTACGCTCCCACCGAATGCAGCTCAGATGAAGTGAAAGATGAATTTTACAGAAAACTATCTGAACTTCTTCAGAAAGCTAAACCTGCAGACATAGTACTCGAAGCAGGTAACTTTAATGCCCAGATAGGTAGTTTAAACCGAACAGAAAGGCATTTAGGTGGGTACTTTAGTATTCCGGCACAACGAACAGATAATGGTGATCGTCTGCTGCAACTATGCTCAGACAATCGTTTATTTTTAGCAAACACAAATTTTAAGCATAAGGAGAGACATCGTCTAACAAATAGACCATATTGCCATCAGTCATCGTTGGAGAGGGTCGGTAGAAGATTGTCGCTCATTCTGGAGTACCTGCTTGGACTCCGACCATGCCCTAATACGGGCAAGCATCTGCTTGCGCCTCACTGGACGCAAAAAAGTCACATTAAAAAGACCCATTAGAACTGATTTGAGTAACGAGAAAACCAAAAGTAGGTTCCACGAACAACTGAGGTCACACTTAGGTAGTTCTGAAAACGAGGCTGACCCAAATGTTGCTTGGAAAGATATACAAACAGCTGTGGAAACAGCAGTGACAACTATCAGTGATTTAAACCACAGGGTTACAAAGAACCAATGGATTTTTTCAAGGTCTATTGTACTGATAGATTCTCATAAACTCATCCCATAAGGTTCCGAACATGATGAAGAGCGACAACAAATCAGATCTAGGTTAAGAAAAGGTCTAAGAAATGACCGTGAGCAGTGGTGGGCAACGAAAGCAAAAGAGATGGAAAAGGCAGTGGCTATAGGGAATTATTAAGTCAAGTGTAAGTCAGAATATTTCGGAAGAAGACGACACTCTCATCTGCTCCCAGTTCAGACGTCTAGAACGATGGGTGGAACATTTCAGAGAACAGTTCAGCTGACCTTCAGCTACTCTAAAACTACCCTCCATTCTCAGACAGTGTGAATGGAACATTGAAGTAGGTCCCCCAACTCTTGCTGAAGTTCAAAAGGCTATAGTTAATGTGAAACGAGGAAGGGCAGCTGGTCCAGATGGATTGGCTCCAGAGGTCTTTAAGGATGGTGGTGCAATTTTAGCGATTAGGTTGACTAATATTTTAGCTAAAATCTGGGAGTTAGACGTTGTCCCATCTAACTGGTCACAATCACTTATCGTCCCAATAAATAAGAAAGGGTTAAAATCATACTTTGACAACCATAGAGGGATTAGTTTAACTAACATACTATCTAAAATACTAGCCTCGATAATTATCAGACGCCTAAGACTCGTGAACTGCAAACACGAGAGAACCAAGCTGGCTTCAGACCTGGTCGTGGCTGCATTGACCACATATTCACCATTCGTCAGATTCTAGAACACAGGCATACTTATCGGCGTCCGACAATGGTGGTTTTTCTTGACTTAAAAGCAGCATTTGACTCTGTAGACCGCGAGACTCTGTGGCAGTGTCTGTCATTGAAAGGCGTACCTCAGAAGTACATAAACCTTGTGAAGGCTCTTTACTCGAACACTACTAGTCGAGTCAGGGCTTATGGCGAACTGTCATCTACTTTTGCAACCTCAAGTGGTGTCCGTCAAGGCTGTCCACTTTCTCCATTTTTGTTTAACTTGAACATAGACCTATTGATGGAAATAACATTCACGTCTACTGAATTCTCGGGTATTGATCTCCTTCCAGCAGGTCCACTTATCGACTTAGAATACCCAGATGATATAGTCCTGTTTGGTGAAGACGCTGATAAAATACAGAATTTTTTGGTAGCACTAAGCAACAATGCCAGAATGTTCGGAATGCGCTTCTCTCCCTCTAAATGCAAGCTGCTGCTTCAGGACTGGTCTGCATCAACACATAAACTAAGGATAGGGAGTGAAGTGGTCGAACGCGTTGACAACTTCACTTACCTTGAAAGTCTGATCAGCCCTAACGGATTGGCGTCTGACGAAATTTCTGCATGAATTCGGAAAGCTCATTTAGTTTTTTGCCAATTTACGTGACCTATGGCGAAGACGAGATATCCGTCTATCAACAAAAGACGAGTATACTGCGCGGCAGTCCGTTCTGTTCTACTTTACGGCTGTGAAACGTGACCATTAATAGTGGAAGACACTCATAAGCTACTAGTATTTGGCCACAGATGCCTTAGAAATATTGCTGGGATCACCGGGTAAGTAATAGTGAGGTTAGAGGCAGGATATTAGGGAATGATGTTAAATCAATTGATGAGGTTGTGAATCTTCATCGACTGAGATGGTTGGGCCACGTGTTACGTATGCCTGAACACCGATTACCAAGACGTGCAATGCTAACCGGTGTTGGAGATGGTTGGAAGAAAGTTAGGGGCGGCCAAACCAAAACGTGGCACCAGTACTTGAAGTCACCAACTTCTAGTCTGAGTCATGTTGTTAGATGCAAACTACTTGGTTGGGGTCCGCGTGACTATCGTAACCAATGGTTGGAGATTCTTGGCTCAGAATCGATCTCAATGGCGTCGGTGTATACACTCTCTGTCTTCCCTCAAACTAAGAGACTAAAATCGCTTCATATCTTTCTTTCCACGAACTAATTCTTTCTTGCTGTACTATATCTTTATATGCAATCTTTCCCTTATATATTACATTATTGAGTTAACTGCTTCTATGAATCTGGTGTTCATCTTGCTGTGCTAATGAGGTATGGCAACTTGGACCGATGCATGTATGTGCCTGGTCCTACGTTGAAGCTGACTGACTGACTTTTCAAAAATGGTGTACAGTCTAGTTTTCCAATAGCTTTCTCAGACAGTGTATATTACAAGATTCTGTATTCGTTATCTTTCTCCTAAAAACACCTGAAAAAATATGAAGTTACAAAGCAAAGTCAAGTTGAAGTCATATCTAGTCTATGTCAGTGATATATAACAACAGTTTGTATGATTTAACACATTCCTTTAAACGAAACATATATTTCACTAGCCATTCATAATCTAATAATATTTGAGTGGAATAACCTTTGAAATTCCACAGTAGGCTTGATAAATAAAAAGTTAGTTACTTTAGAATATACCTGTGGGGCATACATTTGACTGCATCCTAGATTTATGGAGTTTGGTATCCATTCGATCTAAATAAGCACGTAATCCAATGTCTCCTGAACGAATTCGCGCCACTTCTTGTATGCGAATGGCACCATCGATAGCTTGACTATAGCATAAGTTGAGCATAACCGCTGGGACTGTGGATTCGTGGACGGCTGGGAAACCAAGAAGTGTTCTCTAAAAGGAGTAAATACAATCACCGAAAATTTTACATCCAACAAAGAAAGAATTCCATATATATATATATATATTCTACCTTCTATATTATGTCTGGATTCAAACCACGCTTTAGTATTTGTAAACGCACCAATTGTGACAACGTACTGCATGAAATAAGGGATTTTATTATATTATTGGTAAATAATCACGTTAAGGTCAATTCGAATTCATGGTTGAATAAACGAATGAGAATTTTAAATGGTAAGATTGTTAGCTACACAAAATTGAAGGTATTACTCGACAGTCAATATAGGATCAACGATTTTCACCTGAGGCTCTAAATTATCTTTCGCGACTAAGTCAGTCAGTCACAACGTAGGACCAGGCACAAATATGCATCAGTCCAAGTCACCACACCATATTAGCAGAACAAAATGAACATCAAATTCACAAAAACAGTTGCTTTATATCGATATTTCTACTATCTAATTCTTTCTTCCTGTACTATATCCTTATATGCAATATTTTTTTGTTATATTACCAACATTGAATTAACTACTTCTATGAATTCGGCGTTCATCTTGTTCTATTAATGAGGTATGGCATTTTGGACCGATGTATATATGTTTCTGGCCCTACGTTGTAGCTGAGCTGAGTAATATATAAACGAAGTATTGGGTATAAGGATATAATACGGGAAGAATGTGTTAGTTCGAAGAACTAAATGTATAAAGCAATTTGAATCTCACTGTTTAAGGGAAGACAGAGAGTGTATACACCGACGCCATTGAGATCGATTCTGAGCCAAGAATCTCCAACCATTGGTTACGATAGTCACGCGGACCCCAACCAAGTAGTTTGCATCTAACAACATGACTCAGACTAGAAGTTGGTGACTTCAAGTACTGGTGCCACGTTTTGGTTTGGCCGCCCCTAACTTTCTTCCAACCATCTCCAACACCGGTTAGCATTGCACGTCTTGGTAATCGGTGTTCAGGCATACGTAACACGTGGCCCAACCATCTCAGTCGATGAAGATTCACAACCTCATCAATTGATTTAACATCATTCCCTAATATCCTGCCTCTAACCTCACTATTACTTACCCGGTGATCCCAGCAATATTTCTAAGGCATCTGTGGCCAAATACTAGTAGCTTATGAGTGTCTTCCACTATTAATGGTCACGTTTCACAGCCGTAAAGTAGAACAGAACGGACTGCCGCGCAGTATACTCGTCTTTTGTTGATAGACGGATATCTCGTCTTCGCCATAGGTCACGTAAATTGGCAAAAAACTAAATGAGCTTTCCGAATTCATGCAGAAATTTCGTCAGACGCCAATCCGTTAGGGCTGATCAGACTTTCAAGGTAAGTGAAGTTGTCAACGCGTTCGACTACTTCACTCCTTATCCTAAGTTCAGGTGTTGACACAGGCGACTAAATCTTATTAATTATCATGAAATATATAAAATGTCTTTGAAATTTATACTCTTAAGGTGAGACTTAGCATCAATCAGTACAGAGTACTTCTATGTGACCCGCTGACGTTTATCGATAACGCAAAAGTTTTTGTGTTGAACTCTTCAATAGGTTGTTTCACTACTTATAAGTAGCTCAAATAAAGCACCAGAATCGCCCTTTACAAAACAACACATCTCATTGAAATATCTCAGAATTGTAGAAGTACAATTATTTTGTAATCCACATTAATCAGTTTACAATGGTTCTAAAACTCAATATTCATATTGCAGACTAAACTAAAAGTTCAATCAGATGAGTATTAATCATCCAAAATCATGTTTACAATTATTATCTTGTGGATTGAATATTTCATGATCACAAATATTTTACTCAAGATTTGGATGTACCATAGGTTGTACGAACTTTGATTATAGTCTGTGAAGGTATACATCTAAAGTATATGGTTAAAATAAATTAGCACTTGACAAAGAACAACCATTACAATTTGCTACATAATATCTACCATACGCTCAGCAGCCAATTGCCATTTGTTTTCCACTAGAAAAATAACATCTGAAAGTTGACGATTAATATCAACGCGTAGTCTTAAACGGGGATTTTGCTCTGCCTCTATTACTCTCCATGCATCTGTTTGTGTCCGTGGGACTAATTCAATCCATACATCTTCAGGAAGTAGGAATTCATGTGTAGGTGCTAAAATTTGATTTGAATGAGAACTGCATTATTTTAGTTGAAAATTTTTAAAAGTATTTGTTAAATGAATCCTCTACAGGACTAAGTACCTAAATATCAAACCTAATGTTCTATAGATGGCAATGTTATTTAAAATAAAAATACATGAGCTATTAAAGACGGGGAATTAAAAAACCGATAAATCGAGAAGAGCGCGTGTAACCCATATCCGAAAATACCGGTCAGTGAACATCCACAACAGAGTAAACTAATCCACTATCTGGATATAGTAATCTGAACTTCACCTTAATATCACTTACTTGGAATCTTACCATGAAATAGCAACATTTAAAAGACAATTTTTATCGAATACACGTAACACATATATTTTTTCTACATTCAAGAGTGATACGGAGCAGATTAGTGAGTTAATTGACTTTGAATTCTGCCCAATGTGTATGGGCTGGAAAAACGCAAGTAACACATGAGTTATATATAAGTAATGAACCTTCGGTTAGCTCCTTACTTTTTAATTCTTATGGCTCAAAAAGGAAATTTGTAGAGAGCTATGAAATTGTTAAGGATAATTTTTTTCTGATCACTCTTGTCTGAGAGAACTCAGAAAAGCTTAAATAATAGTTGATGGTCACGTCGCTATATAATCAGTCGTACAACTTTGCTTTAGAGACAAATATTTATTGCTTCTGACTATATCACTTCCTAACAATCAATTTGATGAAGTGTGGCTTTGTCATGACGTAATCGGTTAGCTGAAATCAATGCTACAACTTGCAGTAAATCCAGAACTAAGTATCAAGAACACAAATATTAATCTGAGTCAAATCAAATAGGATCATGAATTACCGTGTTGTCCATTCAGATAAAATAAGAAGCGTAGTTAGCTTAAAACACTCAAATTAATAAAAAAGCTAGGAACAAAGATGCCATAAAAATGCTTTTTAATAATTACAGGTCTATTAAATTAAAAATCTTATGTATGTATAATTATGAAGTACCACCATACCAGAGATGTTATTCAATTGCTTCAAAGCAGGACAAACAGGAGTACGTAACAAAAACCGCCGCCCATTGTGTTTGATTACAGTGGTACTGAAACAAAGAAACATATGAAAAGACGAAAAATACTATTTATTGGAGAAATATAAATATTTACAATAAGTACAAGTATTATTATTTAAATTCATTGTCTCCTTACTACGCGTTTAAACTTACGAATAACTTCTTGCGATAAACAATATAAATATTAGAGTACACAATTCCATACTTACAAAGACTAAACCAACCAGTCACAAATTCAAAAAAATAATGTAATAAAAATAATAGAATGAAGTGTTGCCAAGATCCTTACAAGTGGTGAGCGTAATGACTTATATTCAAGGTCTACTTATTTATGAAAAACTAACAATAGTTTATCAAAAACGATCAAGTTTCAACCATCAAGTAGTGAACAGAATCAGACACCATATTTCATACCAAAAAAGTAAAGCCAAAGTACTCATACACGGAAAATTTATTCGTCTTATTCAGAGCATCAAAATGATAAAACTATATCATGTTTGTAATAAATCGACTGAAATCTTTCTCTATTTCAAAATAAGTCAGAAATAATAACACACAGGAAATAAGATAAAAATGAAAAGCAGCAGTCAAAATTTGTATAGATTCAAGTAACATCTTACCACACGTTCAAGCAACCAAACGAATTCACATACAAGGCCTTCAGCAATATCCGTTTATTGATAAGCACTGCTGAGAACGTTCTAGTAAGGTATAATTTCACATTGGCCTTAAAACAAAGCACATTAACCATTTTGAAATTGTGGTATTACTGAGGTTCAAATTTAAGATGGATTAAATATTTTTTAAGCAAACCTCATATAAATATACCAGTTAGGATAGTGTTATGCCCAAACAATAATTAGTGGGTTTTTATAACATCTTTGGACCCAAATAGATCACATCGCTATCAGCCACCGATGGAGGGGCTCGATAGAAGACTGTCGCTCATTCTGGAGCACATGCCTAGATTCAGATCATGCTCTAGTGCGAGCGCGTATTTGCTTGCGTCTTACTGGACGTAGGAAAGACGCTGCAAGAAAACCTCTTAGGGGCCTACTTAATGATAGTCAAGCTAAGAGTATATCTTAGGAACAACTAGGAAAACAGTTAGGCAGCCATGTAGGTGATGCCCACCCGATGCAGCATGGAATGATATCCGAAAAGCTGTGGAAACAGCAGTGATATCTGCTAGTAAGGTAAACCAGAAGGTTAGGGAGCAACACTGGATCTCAGCAGCATCTATCTCACTGATAGGTGCTCGAAAACTCATTCCATATGGCTCTGAACATAATGAAGAGCGGAGTCAGCTTAAGCGCAAGCTGACCAGAAGCCTACGCAATGATCGCGAACAGTGGTGGGTGGCGAAAGCAAGAGAGATGGAAAAGGCAGCGGCAATAGGTAATAGCAGACAATTGTTCAGACTCGTTAAGGAAACCGGTATTAGGAACCCAACTGTTAGCGAAACAATCTCAGAGAAAGATGGACATATTATTCATTCTCAATCCAGGAGATTAGATCGATGGGCAGAACACTTTAGGGATCAGTTCAACTGGCCTTCAGCCACACTTCGGTTTCCCACGATCTCCAGTCAACCTGAATGGCAAGTTAATGTAGGTCCTCCGTCCCTTTACGAAGTTGAAAAAGCCATAGGAAATCTGAAACGAGGGAGAGCACCAGGCCCTGACAGGTTTACTCTTGAGATTTTTAGGGATGGTGGTCCAGTATTAGCAATGAGATTAACCGAGGTCTTAGGTAGAATTTGGGGACTGGACGTAATCCCATCTGACTGGTCTCAATCACTGATTGTGCCAGTCTATAAGAAAGGACGAAAGTCCTCTTGTGACAATCACAGAGGAATTAGTTTGACTAATATAGTGTCTAAAATATTAGCTTCAATAATACTTCGACGCCTAATCAAAGCTCGTGAAGAGCAGACTAGAGAAAACCAGGCTGGTTTTCGACCTGGACGTGGTTGTATAGATCAGATATTCACACTACGTCAGGTTCTAGAACACAGACATACATTCAGACGCCCCACAATGGTAGTATTTCTCGACCTTAAGGCGGCATTCGACTCTGTTGATCGTGAGGTTCTATGGCAGTGTTTGTCACTGAAAGGAGTACCAAAGAAGTACATTAACCTTATAAAGGCTCTCTACTCGAACACAACTGGTAGAGTGAGAGCTTATGGCGAACTGTCATCAGAATTGATTACCTCAAGTGGTGTTCGTCAGGGCTGTCCACTCTCCCCATTCTTGTTCAACTTTGTCGTGGACGTACTTCTAGAGATAACACTTTCCTCATCTAGATTTCCAGGGGTTGAACTTCTACCGGGAGGTTCACTTGTTGACTTAGAATATGCAGATGACATAGTGAAGACGCTGACAAAATGCAGAGTCTTCTGACCACTCTAAGCAACAATGCAAGCATGTTCGGGATGCGATTCTCTCCCTCGAAATGCAAAATGTTGCTTCAGGATTGGGTTACATCGACACCCGAACTAGTGATAGGGAGTGAAGTAGTTGAGTGTGTCGACCGCTTCACTTATCTTGGAAGTCTCATCAGCCCTTGTAGTCTGGTGTGTGACGAAATCTCAGCACGGATACAGAAGGCTCGACTAGCTTTTGCCAACTTGCGTCATTTATGGCGTAGGCGAGATATCCGTCTATCAACCAAAGGACGTATTTACTGCACAGCAGTTCGTCCCGTCCTACTTTATGGCAGTGAAACATGGCCGGTAAGAGTAGAGGATATCCGTAGGCTACTAGTATTTGATCATAGGTGTCTTCGAAACATTGCTCGTATATCGTGGGACCATCGAGTAAGTAACACAGTTGTTAGGAAACAGGTACTAGGTAAGGATGGCAAACCCATTGATGAAGTAGTGAAACTTCATCAGTTGAGATGGCTGGGACACGTGTTACGTATGCCCAACGACCGACTGCCTCGACGTGCTATGTTCAGTGGTATAGGAGTAGGTTGGAAGAAAGCTAGGGGCGGCCAAACCAAAACATGGCACAAGTCCATGAAGTCACTGACAAGTGAACTGAGTCATGTTGGTAGGTGTAGACTACCTGGTTGGGGACCGCGAGATGATAGCAACCGATGGTTAGAGACCCTGAATGACATGGCTCAAAATCGTTTGCAATGGCGCAGGTGCATCCACTCTCTGTGTTCTCTCAAATTCTAATCTTCTGAATTCTTCATGCCCCTTTTTTCCTCTTTCCAAATTTATTTCACTGGATTATACTCTATAAATAACATCTCCAAACCCTAATCTTCCCGATTACTGCTTATACTCTTATTACCTCTACCACTATGGGATTTGAATCGACAACTGCTTCTCTGTGCTAATGTGGTGTGGCAACTCGAACTGATGTACGTACGTACGAAGTTCTACGTTGTTACTGACTGACTTTTATAACATCTAAATTTGGAACGTTTACTGATGTCCAAAATTTATGAATTCCTAATAGGTTGATTTATTCTTTTAGAAGAATTCATAAGAGCAAAAGTTGATCTTTTGCTAGAATGTGTTCAGGCTGCCACTCGAAAGAGTCACGCTGAGTCGTAGACACCATCTTTCTCGATAGCATGTTTCAAGAATTAGTTATACAAAAGAAAACAACGGTTGTAAGCCCGCTAAACTTGCGGCTAAAATGGTTCCAACTGAATCTAATTTAGTGGAAAGCACTGCAAATGCCACTTCAGTTTTTCACTAAAATCAAATTCCCGAGCTGGATTCCAAATAACATCTTCGCGAGAGAGGATATTCTTGTCAAAGCTTGACTTTGTAACTGAGGCTACAGTCTATGGTGTTTGGGAGATTTGTGATACCTTAATCATATTATCTCAATCAACAGATACAACAACTTGCTATGAAGCGTTGTTCTGGAAACCATCTCTATGATGACCTTTCTGTTTTACTACCGGGGATAATTCGAACGTAGTCTCAATGAATTTCAGGAAATAAGTAGCACCTGAATGTCTCAAGTGGACCTCACGTGGACCTAGCTCAGACATCTGGACCAAATTAAACCACATTTTTTAATGTGAAGGTAAGAACGAGAGAAAAGGATAGATAACAAATCATTTAAATACACTAATAAAGCTCATATATTTGTAAGGAGGATATATTATTTACTCTTAAATTCAGACAGGATATCTCATTCAACAGATGACAAGGTAAGGAACTGTGACATTACGCCACACCAGCTGTGGATAAAAATAAGCTAAGTTCAAAATAATACAAACAAATTATTTTTTATTACAAAGCAGTGAGCAAAAATCACACACCCACAATGAACTAATTCGTTTAATTTTTCTCCCAATCGGTGGTCCAATGCTAAAATGACAAATGGAAAAAAAAATTAGAAACTGGGGTGAAAATGAACCTGGTATTGTTAGAGGGAGAGAATGGAAAAGCAACTTAATGTAAGTTGCTTCTGCCGAGAAGTGAATAAATAACCAAATTAAATTAGCAAGTTTAAATAGTACGCAGGAAAGAAACGGGATATAAAGTATGATCGAAAACAGATCTGATTACAGTAATATCAAATTATTTCGGTTCAAGTGATACTGTGTGAAATAAACTCGTGTATTTGAGTGTATTCTAGTAGATGTGAAATTTTTAATGTGGAAAAAATAGTTAAACTTATGTGTTAATAGTCTAAATGGAATTAAATGTGGTTGTTTGAATAAACGGTTTAAGTTGGATGACTAGTCGACTCTTCAGAGAGCAGAGTTTACAACTATATGAAAAGCTTCAGCTACTTGCCTTTATTCATAGTTGGAGAAACCTTTTGAATCCATTTAATACTTTGATACCGATTTGATGGTTGTTGCAAATGGTATATACTTCAACTGCTGGCTTGATTTGAAGATCTTTCAGTTATACATGATTGGCAGGAGTCAGGATTTCGCGAGAACACTCTAATATACAAGACATCACAACTGACACAACCTAATCTGTAGGCATAATTCTGGTGAGGCTTTATTAGAAATAAATAAATTCAAAGTCTTAGTTGTTTCATAAAACGCTTCAATTCTGTGTAATTTAAAGGTCTGTCGAATTTTTTGTTGTACCGTGGTATAGTGAAACTAAAGTACCAAATCATAATAGTCCGATTAACATATTATTATAATTCAATAACAGATCTTTTCGTTTTAGTATAGTTTTAATAATATTCACAGGAAAATTATTAGATTATGAGACAGTTCTATTTCTTTATTCTGCGTTTGGTAGCTCTTCTGAGTAAATTCAGATTCAGAACAAATTTGCACTAAATGGATGAATATAGTTGAATTTATTGTACCAGTTTCAGTGTGTTGGTTTTCAGAAGACGGGTAAATCTGCACTCATATTAGAATCCTTTTTAATCAGACAGTTTAAAAACGATAGTTCGCTAGGTTCATTTTCCCTTTAGAAAGTAAATTCAACGTGATGTGGGGAAGTAATTATCGGTTTAGGGAATTTTTAAAAGGTATTTTTAATGATGACAAATGTGTCAACCTATTTGTTGATGACGATACTGTTATACTATATTTATCAGCTTTGGTAACTACTATTGCTCAGTAAACTGCAGCCTTGAGTAGATTATAACTTGTTTATGGCTGATCCCAACTAAGGCATAATCATTGCCGAAGTACTAACTGACGCGTACCCTCTGGAACTCAAGCTTGGACTTAGATTGACCACATCACGACTAGCTACCGTTGTAGTTGTATACAGCACTATCATTACTCTTAAAGTTCCTGTCTAGATTCTGACCAAGCCCCTTTGTTTAAGTCAATCTTGTCCTAAGTTTTAGTGTCCAACACATTTGTCGTCCTAAACTCATTGATATATACAAATTGATTGCAACTTCTGTTGCAGCCAGATATCACACCAACCTGGGTTAATGACTAACCGTCAAAATGTTGAAAAGTACAGATGACAACTGGGTGCATTACCATATCATGGGAACGGAAAGTAAATCCGCTTGAGGTTTACGAAACGTCCCAATTATAAGTGATGGCTTTGTACAAAGTTACGTCGGTTTGCTCTGGGTAGCTGCAAGTTTAGTGGTCAATGTAGGTTCTTGCCTAAACAGGACTGAGAAACTTGATAACTGATCTATCCAACGAGGTGAAAGTCTGTAGGAAGCTCCAACTCCCAAAGAACCACAAATCACTAGTTTCTTTGATCAGTTGCACACTATTGTGCTCCGGGACTGTCTACTGAACAAGACTGTGCCTGGGAAGCTTATTAACAAGTTGGAGTCTCTAGAAAAACACCCCAGGTAGAATGAGGGCATGCAGACCCCTTTCTACATCGTTCCCTTTAAGTAAATGCCCTGGTATGGCCGAGAGTGAGGTGGGCCCGCCCTCCCTCTCGAAATACTCTCACACGGCCACGTGTATACAGCCTTTGCCAAGGAAGTCCTACTCACTGCCTTCTCGTGGCGGGGGTGTTGTTTACGAAAATGAGAGGACGAAAAGCGAATGTCCGGTCCTTTAACCGGATCCCAAACCAATGGTGCACATGGGCTGGCTCCAGTATCCTGCGGGAACAAATGGCGTATGAACCAATCGTTGGTCACCGTCTACCATGGGACTGCATCTCCTTACGATGCTCCACCGTCTTGTGGGTCAGACCCTTAGGTCAGAGGCTCGGGGTGTGGCCCCCTAATAAAACCGCCTGCTTCGATCTGGGCACCCTGGCAGTATCACAACCCACACACACATATGATTAAATGTCGATATTTATGGAGAATACTTGTATTGCTTCGATTAACAATCAAACTATTCACATTATTATTTTTTTACGTCATTTATTCAATGTGGCGCATATATATTTGGTGCCCTCTTGTACCAATATTTATGTGTTCAAATAAAATAAAAATAAATGGGTTGCAAAGGGTCACCCAGTCTTACCATTCCTAATCTGAACCTGTAACCTGAAGAAAGACATGTCGATTTTGAGTATGGGAATGACAGTCCTATTGTACGATGGTACAGAAATTATCCGGTTCGTACTCAACAAGTTGGCACGTACTTTTCATCTTCTAAATCCAATGCACTTTTACAAGAATGGAAGGAACCTGCGCCTAAACACACTCTTAATAGTAAGTAGCTAGAAGTAGTAGGAAAGTTTGTGTATTTAGGAAGGTTTATAAGTGCTGGTAGTGGTGATGGTGGCGTGACCAATAAAACCAATTTATGCACAGTAATAGCTAGAGTGGATCGTCTTTGGTATTGTTGTGCTATTATTCTGGCTGTAAAAGTTCCAGTTTATGACACGTCAGTGAGAGTGGTTTTGCTCCGTAGTTGTAAAACCTGGCCTTCCTGAGTTGAGATGTTAGGCTACTCTCCGAGTTTCATCATCGTTGTCGCCCGAGGATTGCTGAGATTCAGAGTCAACACCATCTTATCAATATGGAGGTTCGGAAACGTGTGTTTAGGCAGTGAAGATAACTCGGTTGGTGTCACATTCTTGAAATACTGACTGGTCGCTTGGATATATGATACGAATGTCACCCAAGAGGATTGCACACCATGAATTGTTTGCCGATAATAATAATAATATCTAGAGAGGTGATTAGTATTTGACATGGTGTCGGGATATGAACGAATTATGAGCAGGGCTGGCTTCTGTCGATCTTTCATGAGTTTTTGGTTGAGGTCATAAAAATAGTACAACACAGTGGCTTGAGACGCTATCAGACATGGTTCAGAATAGAATCCAATGGTGGTATCACTATACTTTTCTTATACATAAACTTCACTAAATTGAAAAATTCTTCTTAGCCCTATTTTTCAACAGAACTACTGCTTTTTTGTTTTCTTAATCTCATTCACATACTTTCATTAACTTTTTTTATCCCATTCACTTCCCTCCTCCTGTATCTTTAAAATTTCACTTTTTTATTATGTGGCGTATATTTATTTTGATACCTCTTGATATGACGGGATTAAAAACAAAATTACACTCATTTACTCATTCTGATTTCTGTCCGACATTACTTTCGTTTCAATTCAGTGTAATGATTACTCAGCGTAGTATTTATTTTGTTTTCCAGTGTGATACTTCATTCGATAAAACATTAATTTATTTCAGTGTGCCGTTTATCCAAAATATGATATTCGTGTATTTGTTGAAGTTAGAGATTAGCACCGTTGGATGTCCGCCCAGTGGTCTAGGGGTTAAGCATTCGCACGTCAGACCGAATGTCCTGGGATCAACTCCCGCGTGCGGGATCGTGGGTGCGCACTGTTGAGGAATCCCATACTAAGAAGAAACGGCCGTTCACTGCTCCCAGGTTTTCTATGGTAGTCTAGCTTTAATCGACTCATGAATTCAACAATTAAATGATATTCTTGTGTTGAATTAATATGAAATATGTTCAGCAAGACACGTAGCATGTGATTTGTTTTAAATGGGTATTTTTCATAAATGTGATTTCATCTTAATGAATGATCAAAACGGTGTACAATCAATATATAAATTAGTGTATTTTAGACTACATTAGTCGTGTTTCGGGGTTAATAAATATCCAGTCTTGATATTCCTACTTCGCGTTGTGAAAAATGCAGAGTTTCTCGCTTTACAAGTATGAGTAATATGCGATCCCGACATAACAATTACCGACGACCAGACATAACACCCCTTTGCACTAACATTTACTTTTAAACAAATGGATGAAAATGTCCTTTCGTAAAGAACGTAGGGTTCTTAATTCCTCTTTCGAAAGATCTTTAGGAAGACATTTTTGCGGAAGTGTAAGGTATTTTAGATACCCTAGATGAGCCGCTTTCCATGAAGTTGTTCGAGAATGGTTTTGTAGTTGGAGCGACTTCTATAACATTGAGAGTCTTTCTACGTAAATTAAAAATTAATCCATGGTTATCTAAAGTTTCATCTGGAATATTATGAGCAACTCTTAGATAAGTAGGACTAATTTTTGTTGCTGAGTTTCTCTTTTTCGTCTTTCTTTATTCCACTTTACCTATTATCCAGTTTGCCAGGAGTTCGACAAATCTAAATAATAATTTCCCCTTTCATTGAAAAGACCAAAAATAAAATTCTGTAATTTTGTAAAAATCAAATAGTTTATTAGATTCACTGTATATAATCCATTAATATAGTAGCTAACCTAATTACATATACATATGTGCCACATAAATCACTCGATTTGTGTGAGGGCTGGGATACTTCCAGAGTGCCCAGATCGAAGCAGGAGGTTTTATTAGGAGGCCACACCCCGAGCCTCTGACCTAAGGGTCTGACCCACAAGACGGTGGAGCATCGTAAGGAGATGCAGTCCCATGGTAGACGGTGACCAACGATTGGTTCATACGCCATTTGTTCCCGCAGGATACTGGAGCCAGCCCATGTGCACCATTGGTTTGGGATCCGGTTAAAGGACCGGACATTCGCTTTTCGTCCTCTCATTTTCGTAAACAACACCCCCGCCACGAGAAGGCAATGAGTAGGACTTCCTTGGCAAAGGCTGTATACACGTGGCCGTGTGAGAGTATTTCGAGAGGGAGGGCGGGCCCACCCCACTCTCGGCCATACCAGGGCATTTGGGGGCGGGGCCTTTACATTGGTTTTGTAACATTGTGATTCGATGATGTATTCAAAGTTATTAACATGCCCCTAAAATTTATCCAATTTTCGGATCGATGTCTCATTGTTATGCACTTTTAAACACAGTAGGGAGCTATATTCCTTACTTATTAGAGCAACAAAAACCGAAAATGAAAAAACATAACCATGATTAAATCCAAACCAAAGTTATTCATTACCGTAAGTAGAGATAAAAAGAGACGAAAGCATATTATTGCTACAAACTTATTACTTACGTTTCTTAATGCGTGTACGCAGCACAGAATAATTGACAATTGCATAAACTTCCCTAACATGTTGTGGGACCTCTTCGGGAAATTTAGTGTAACGACGTACTTTATGCCAAGTTTGTTGATAAAAGAAACGAACTTGTTCACGAGTCCGACCACCACAAGGTGTATTTAAATCAGAACTACCGGTACAGGGTGTGCTCATTCCAACACTAGGTTGAGTAATATTGCTTGGGCACGGAGCGCTTATATTAGATGGGATGAGGGCAGATGATAAACTGTTTGAAGAGACAAAATTATTTCCAGAGTGCAAACTATTCAAAGTTAGTTCAATATTGCCACTTGATGACCCAGTTTGGTGATCGATTGATGTACGATGTCCACGAGACCGAATGAAACGTGTGATTTCACTGAAGTTACGCCCGTACTATATGTTAAGGAACGAATAGGAAATATTATCACACAATATTCAAGGTAAACATGAAGAGTAATTTGTTACGAAAATATTAACCATGATACAGAAAATAGTAAACAGGAAAAACGAGAAGACAAAGTGTAAAACAATTAACGAACCATTCTCACGGCCTGGAAAAATAGACGTCTATCATCAGGTGACCAAGTTCCGCGTAACAATCTCGGAGCATTTTCTAAATGCAAGAAGTGTTAGCAAACCACCGAAAAACTAACCAGAACGAGTTTTGTGTGGTTTATCGTCTACTGAGATCTTTACATCATCGCATAATGTCTGACCACTTGTTCCAGATGCACTATAAAAGTTGTTTACACTACAACCGCTCTCAGCAGATTCATATATTCCAGGAGAAATTAACTGGTTTGGTGTGTTTCCTACTAAATGTCCACTCGAAGGGCAAAGTACACGCGCATGATGTCGAGCTTTAACAATCGCAGCAATATTCGGGGCTTCCATTTCTGCACTACGCGTCTTCATACCGTTCCAATGGTTCTGGATGGAATAGAAGCTTTTGCTTAACGGGCCTCCATATCTAGTAGCGAAGGATCACTGATGACGCTGGATAGGAACCTAGGAATATCAACGACAAAAGAGGAAAGAGAAATTGGTAAATCACAGTAAGATATGATCCTTAGTCCTTAAGAACATGTCAAGTATCCTCTCAAAGGACTCCTGGTAAGTCACTTGGACTATCTCAGCCGGCAGCGAATTCTAGTATCTGACTACTCTTAATGAGCAGAAAATGTGTCTATAGTCCCTTCTGCTGAGTTGTGTCTACGGTTTCTTAGTATTACCCCTTAGGTTTGTGTTGGAGTTAAACTTAGGCAGGTATTTAAGGGGATGCCTAGAGGCGTTAAGGATGCTATGAGCCATTAGGTCACCTGTAAGACGCCTGCACTCTAACGGGTAAAGGTTTAATGATTGGAAGGCGCTCTTCATAAGAACTTAATTTGAGCCCCCCAACTGATTTCGTGGATATGCTCTAGAATGTCTTTATCCTTTTGGAGTGAGGGAGAAAATACTGCGTTTTCGTACTCTAAATGGGGACGAATGAAACCGTTGAAGACTATGTGGAAAGTTCTTGCGTCGAACTGGCCGAAAATGCGCTTAAACGTTACCAGTGCAAGGTTTACTCGAAAGGTATTTTTGTCAAAGTTGGCGTAAGACTTCAAATGGTAGGGTACCAGGACTCCTAAATCTTTTCCAACTTGTGATACCTTTAGAGGGCAGCCGCCTAAGTTGTAGCTGTAGTCTGCAATATGTCTCATGTGGACTACTTTACACTTTGAAGTGTTAACGATAAGTCCGTTATCATCTGCCAACCCCGAAGTCCAGTCAGATCCTTCTGAAGTTCCGGTTTATCCACCAATTCAGCGCTCAGGTCCACTTCTGAATGTCCTATGGAGTTGCTGGTGATGCTTTTATCAATATAGTTGGCGTGGGTCGGTTGAAATGTTTGAGGGTACTGTCCTGCCAGAAAGTCAGTGGCGTCACTGTCTTTGGTGGTCGGGCTATTAGGACCTAGCATTTGGGAAACTCCAGTTCCAACTGCATGACGGAATAAGCTTTTCGAATTGGAGACAAATTCATCGACAAGCTTTATCTGGTACTGAAATCTGTCTTCTTTTATTGCCGTTGTGCATATATTGCTTACTTGTTTGAATTGCCTGTATGCGCTGTTGTTACCAGTTTGTTTGTATTCCGCCCAGCAGTACCTTTCGCGACTTAGAAAACGAAGAGTGCGGTTCTTGATGATTGTAGGTTGCTTGTAGATTTTGGTGACCATTTGCGAAACAGACTGTTTTGTCGCACATAAGATCGTGTGCTGTAAGAAATCCCAATGAGCATCCACATCAAGTTGGTGAACTTCACAGCCCACCTGCTGTAAATTGTCCTGTAAGGCTGACACAATCAACCGTTTGAAATTCCAGTGCCTGTTGTCGGTAGGATGTCTTAGCTCAGTTTTGCTGATAAAACTGAAGGCTATGATGGCATGATCGCTTTTCCCCAAAAGAGCCAGGATTGAGAGGTTGTAAATTAGGAATTCTTTGTTTGTAAATACCCAGTCTAAGCGTGACAGTGTCTGGCTGTTCCTTCAACGAATTGCCGACTTCACATTTTCGAATAATCCCAGATCTTCAATGAGGTTGAAAAACCGAGCTTTAGTAGAGTTTACACATTCAATGTACGTATGTTCCACTGAGTGGTAAACAATTTTTCTGAGCACCATGCGGATTCATCAAGATTGATAAACTCTTAGTTGTGCACTTGATGCACCTCCAGGCAAGATTGCAGGTACAAGGCTACTCCACCCCCAACTCCTGTTTTTTTTGTCAATGGGAAACATCCTGGGTATTACTAGCTCCTGGACCGTGAATTGGGGAGAGATCCATGTTTCATATATTCCTATCAGATGAGTATCATTGGCATTACTGAGTTCACGCAGCTTAGTCATTTTACTCAGTAAACTCGCGGTGTTCATATATAATCAGTTTATGCTCTCAATTTGAAACGCGTGAGCTTCCTCACCCTGTTTACCTGCATGAGCCTTATATGAATGGACAGGTAACCTACCTACACAGGGCTTTTCAAGCTGGCAGCTCCTGTCCTTTCCACTTTTTTTTCGTGGTTTTAACAGTCTACAAGTGGAATAGTCAGCTCCAATTTGCTTTTGTGTTTGATCCTGGCATCTTGTGACTTGTCTGGAAACATATGGATTCCAGTTGGCAGCCGGCGCATAAGCACGAAGTGCTTCAAGAGTTGCAGCCGCCATATAGGAGAATGGGAAGGTTATCTTCATTATCAAGGGTCTAGAACCCTTGTCCCTCTTCTCTAATCTTACCACTTGTTGAGTCAATATGTTTTTGAGCTTCAAGGACTGTTTGATTAATCTCCATTCCCAAACAGCAGAGTTTCTGTTTCCTGACACTCCTTGTACAATCTCTCGCGATATTCCTTAGGAATGTTCCTGATGAGATTGCGCTCAGGCAGTATTCTTACATTCCCATTTGATTTCAGTAAGTGACTAGCCAGTAAGACATCCTCTAAGACGGCAGCGTTAGACAGCGTTACACGAAATAGTCTTGAGTGATTTATGATGCTTGGAGTTCTTTCCCAAAGTGAGCCATGTGGCCGTCGGAGGCTCTGTTTTGGGACGTTCGGCCTTCCTGTTTAACTCTTCCCAAAGCATCCTGTCATTTTCGTCTTTCAGACTGAAGGGAAGGTCAAAGCTGTCTTTAGAATTCATGACTATGGAATAATCGACGTGGATTGTGATCGTTTTTCAGGTTTTCGAATAAGCTTGTTAGTTAAAGCACGTTTCATATTCATATGCTCCTTCCTGACAAGATGGACAGTATTAGGGGTAGACTCCACGGCCATATCAACAGTTGATTTCAGCACAATACATGCGATGTTCTGCCTTATGGACAGTGACACATGGGCGTTGTTAACTAAGTTAACGGGGTTCTAATCACCTGCAGAGTTTTGGGGACAACCGTCGAATTCAGGGATCCTATGCTGGGAGACCCAAGTTTGCTGAGGGAGTCTAGTGCCGTCGATTTTACGATGGTGATGATCTTCAGCATGTCCGAAGAGACTATAATTTGTGGACGAACCAATCACGGATGAGATGACAAGCCTCAGATTTTGGCACGAAATTCATTCATCCATTTGGCTGAATAGCGTTTTGAAATTATAGTTGATGTCAGTTCGTGATGAAAAACGTACGTCTAGCTCCTAATTTTGACTATCAACTGTAAATCATAATTCTAATTCTTCACACTGGTTTATAACTATAATTAGGTAGACATTCAAAGTCACTCTAACATCGACCAAAGGTCGTCCATAAATTATGGTTTCACCCAATTGTTTAATAGATCCTAGAAAAAGTCTACAACCGTAAAGCAAAATCAGTATGCTCAAAACGGACAAAAACGGGTGGTACAAAAGATCAGGATTTACTAAGACGAGACTCGACGTGCAAAACTGAAGCAAAACCACAGACAACTATTAACTTGGATAAAACTCAAAAAGAAGAGTAGTCTACCGAACATTGAACTCAGGACAGATTCTTTGGATCAAACTTTGTACTTCTGTTGCGTAAGGACAGCAAACCTTTGGGAAATGCAAATAACTATAGACTTCTCGTTAATAAAGCGCGCGTCACGATCCAATTCGAATAGTTTAAATAGTTCTGGATGGATTGGAAGATTTTGCTTAACAGGCCTCCGTATCTAGTGGCGAAGGTTCACGGATGCCGCCGGGTAGGAGCCTAGGAATATTACCGACAAAACAGGAAGGAGGTATTGATAAATCATAATGTAGCGGTAAATAGATCCCCGAAATAAATAGCTCTGTAAGTCTTCGACATCGGATGCTGACCACATTAGTTTTAATGGACTCACCTAGCTGAAGGCTCTTGGTCATGCATCCGCACCAGATCACAAGTGAGAATGCCGTGTTCAACAACCCCTGCAGTCGCTAGCCAGTCTAGATTAGCCGATCCTCGATATATTGATAGCCTATCAAATATATCTTCGAACCTCCTCTCCTCTGTCTTTTGATTTCACTTGATAGGTACGATTCATATTAGGTGTTACTGGTTAAAGCGTTGTCAAACTCGGAATACCTGTGGCATCTGGTACACTAAATTGCAAACTATGAGTCTGTTCCTTTTTGAGATTTTATATATCATTGCATTAGTTTAATTTTTTATACATCGTGATATCTTTTATCTGTGCTTTTGACATATATATATATTTCACTCGTTCATTCTCGTACTTGATATTTCACCATGACTGAACAGACACCCAAGGTACTTAAGTTAAAGACTATGTCCCCACCTTCGTTCCAACTAATTCCCTTCTGGCCAGACAACATCGAAACCAGGTTCTGATACGCAGAAGCCGACTTCTCCGAAAACTATGTGAATGGCACACGTGCACAATTTCTCGCAGTAGTCAAGGCACTACCGCGCAAATTCAACAGGTACGTAACACCTAGTGTGCTTACTGGTGATGTTTCAGATCCTTACGAAACAATTAAACGACCTATCCTTGAACGCGGAGGTCTAACCGGTCGACAAGGGTTAAACCAACTCCTTAATAACATCGAACTGCAACACATTTCTGCGACAGACATGTTGCAAAGAACGAGAGAGGTTATCGGTCAAATAACTTTCGATGATGGCCTATTCAAACAACTTTTCTTATTCGAACTTCCTCAACAAATGCAAGCTGTGCTGGTCTCGTTTCAAAACAACACCGTAGACGAGCTGGCTGCATCTGCCGGTCGCATCTTAGAAACCACCAAATCTTCTAACGTCGAGGTCTTTTCAGTCAAAGAAAAGCCTCAAGCGACCCCGAATGACATTACGGAACTATGTCAAACACTGACACGTTATCTGCGATTTTGTAATGACCGTAAACGGCCAAACACCCCGCGAAGCATTTCACGCAGGCGATCTGTCTCTAGACCACGAGAGACAAATAAACTGACTGTTGCCGGTATCATAACCAGTATGGAAAGTCTTCCAGAAGTTGCAGAAAACCGTGCAATTTTTCAAAGTCAAAATCAACCGACGCGAAAAACAATTCGGGAAACTTCCAAGTCGGCACGCGTCAACGGCAAATGTAGCCGGCGAACATAGCCGTCTGTTATGCGTCATAGATGTGATAACGAAAGTTCGCTACTTCGTCGATACTGGCGCAGAAGTTAGAGTTCTTCCAGTGAATTCTAACAACCGGCTTTACGAATCGGATTTAAACCTTTAATCGGCAAACGGAAAGCCTATCGCTACGTATGGCGAAAGGTACGTTCACCTTAACGTGTGTTTACGCAAACCCACTCACAGGATTTTTGTTGTTACAGATGTTTCTGTGTCAATCATTGGCATAGACCTTCTACAACACTACAATCTAATCATCGATACGAGCAAACGGAGGCTAGTATACCAAACACCAATTCATTTGTTCGCGTAACTTATTTTCCCGGTTGCAGTTGTCTCCAATCACAATTAAGCACACGATAGACCCATTCTATCAGCCACTACTCGATAAGTATTCTGAGATATACTAACCACAATCGGAATTGCCGTGCGCAACCAGCAATGTCACACATCACATCACGACTCAAAGACCACCTGTATTCTCTAAAGCACGCCGACTGGCTCCCGAGAAGCTAAGGTTAGCGACAAACGGACTTGACTACATGATAGACTGAAGTATCATAAGACCGTCAAACAGCTCATGGGTATCTCCTTTTCACATGGTCCTCAAAAAGGACAGCAGCGATTGGCGTCCAACTGGTGACTATCGGCGATTGAATGTGAAAACCATTGTCGATCGTTACCCATTGCTTCACATTCACGATTTGACAGCTACCTTGAAAGGTACAACTGTCTTTTCGAAAATCGACTTGGTTGAAGCGCATAACCAAATCTTTATGGCTACTGACGATATTATGAAAAGAGCTATCATAACTCCCTTCAGACTACAAATTTTTGCGAATGCCCTTCGGTCTAAGAAACGCTGCACAAACTTTCCAAAGGTTCATAGATGACGTTTTTCGAGGTCTCAACTTCGTACACACGTATGTCGATGACTGTCTAATAGCAAGTCCGGACAGAGAATCGCATCTCCAGCATCTGGATCTTGTTTTCGAACGACTACGAAAACATGGCACTACTGTAAACACTCAGAAATGCCAAATCGGAACAGACTCTTTAGACTTCTCAGGACACTATAGATGCGCAAGGCGTTCGACCCCTTACAACCAAAGTGGTGGCCATTCTGGGTTACCCAAAACCAGTCACCATCAAGCAATTACGCACGTTTAAAGGCCTGGTAAGTGTTTATAGACGGTTCGTACCGAAATGCGCGTCACTTATGAAACCGCTAACGGACCAACGTCGTGGAAATGCGCAATCCAGCAATCTGGACGACACCGCGCGAAAAGCGTTCTCCAACGTTAAGTGACTTTCTCATCCAGGTGTTCGTGCAACCATCAAGCTTGTAGCAGAACGGTTTGCTGACCTGGCATGAATAAAGAAGTGAGAGAGTGGGCACGCTCATATGTAAGCTGCCAAAAATCTTTGGTTCTCAGACACAATAAATGTCCCTTAGGGTTCATTTAAACCTCCCGATGCTCGTTTCGACCATATTCATTTGGATTTGGTGGGACCTTTACAAGATTCAAATGGATACTCTTATCTCTTAACCTGCGTAGACCGTTTCACTCGATGGCCAGAAGCAGTAGCTATCAAGGACATCACTGCTGAAACAGTGGCTCGCGCCTTCGTCAAACGATTGGCAGCAAACTTAGGCTACACTTCGACTATCACTACAGATCGTGGATCACTGTATTTTCCTGCTAGTTTCCTCGTTCTTCCATACAATTTTTTTATATTTCCTACTGTTGCAGCTTTTTTTCGCTGTCGTTGCCTGCTCTTCCACATATCTCTGCTTGATAGCTTTGATGCTCTACTTAACTTGCTTGTTTGTTTCGGTGTATTCAGCTTGTGCCTTGATTTTCCCTGTTCTTGTTCGGCTGTTGTTAATTTTCATCTTCTTCTTAATTTATTGAACCTTGTCCATGGTTTAGTAAGCGATCCATTCCTTTTGATGACTCTTTTCACGGACCAGCACCTCCTCCCCTTCTAGTCGGCTCCTTTAGTAGTTTATTCTTTCAGTAGACCCCGTAAGGATTGCACCCTGCTGTGAAAAGTTATCTAGAATCCGCTGAGTTTATAGTTATATCGTAGGTCGACCGTACTGAACCTTAATAATACTGTTTCCCCAGCGGTCCAGTGTTTCGTTAGCTTCAGTTTCATCTCGGCCACATTCAAGCGGTGATCTGAAGCTATGTCAACTCCTCTCTTGGTTCTCATGTCTTCTGTCGACATTTCGAATTCTTCACTATAACCAAAGATGTCAGAAAATCAAATTAAAATCTTTCTGGACCAGACGTATCAAATTAAAACTTGTCTTTATCTACCAGCTTATTAACGGTGTTTACTACTCTTTGGTATTCACCCCTTCATACCCCACGATATCATTCCACAATCTACGCAGTAAGGAAAATATTTTAGCAATTCTGAGAACTTACACAAACGTACGTCAGAATTTTTTCGTTATTCGCTACTCAACCATGTGGAACAGACTTTCAGTGAACCTCCGTTGCAGTGAAACTACAACCCTGTTCAGAAGTCTCCTTGATGATTTTCTTTCCGAAAGTAGATTGTGTCACTGATTGAGTATCGTTGTGTTCAATAATGATTCGCACAAACAGCGTCCGTCATCCATCTAATCGACTGAAAAGCAAAATTTAACCTTTGAAACTCTTCAAGCCTTTTTTAGTTCATGTCTATTCATCTTAATATATGAAATCTGCTTATGTTCGTATCTACATATATTACCGTTAATAATATCATTATTGGTCCCTTGACACATTAGATATTCTTTTCATCTCTTCTTATCCTTCCAAACATATATTATTCTTAAACATTCAAAGTCTATAACTAAAAACAAATTATCTCATGGTACGCTTAAATAAGTTAACTTCTCAAACTCATTTTATATTCACCACATATATGTAACACATAGAAATTTACATTTGATTATCCATTGCAATTATTTGTGACATTCATAGCATAGTTCCTAATGATTATTGCACAAATGTTTATATTAATATCCGGTTTCATTCTGTATACTATTACATAAATCTACATGCATTTATCTGAATGCACAAAAGGATTTATTTTATTCATTTTTCTATTTTTCTAAATTGTTGGTTCATTTCAGAGGTCGATATTCATCACATAATTACTGTTATTGTCATGGCTGAACACTTTTATTAAGTGTCCATTTCTTTTCTCCATTTTCCTTCCAATTAAATATTGTTCTGAAGACTACGAAGTTTGTAATTAAGATAATAACTTGTGTTACACTCAAACTGACTTCTCAGACTCGTCTTATCTTCACTATGCATATATGACTCATATATAATCACATTTGGTTATTATTTTTAACTTGATTGAGACTTTCATAGCATCACTTCAAACTATGACTGCACAAACATTTATTCTATCGTCATATCTTACTGCAATCATAAGTTATTTTACACTGATTATTTCTGTTTTATTTTTGTTACTAATTTGACGATACATACATAGTCGTTTATTCTCGTTCTGTGTTCGTAAACACGCCTACCAAACTATTTGCGTATTTCAGGTCTCCTTTATTTCTATTCCCTTATTTTCTCCCTTTCTTTCTTTGAAATCAATTCAATATTCTTCTCAGTCACACAGAACCTGATTTATTATTGTTGGGGACGATAGATCCTCGTTCGCGGTTTAAGTGAACTCGTGAAGTTTCAAACATAAAAATTTGGCGACGGGGATGGGATGCGTCAATAGATAGATCACTGGTCATTGGTCACT